AGTCCTCAAGACTAGCATTGGCCAGTGCACACACTCGCTTAGAAGCTTAGGCCTTTGTTTCTAGTTAAAAAGTGGGCTGCTTTTGGGCTACAGCATGACAGGGACAAACTGAAGCCCTTTTCCTTTCAGATATGGCGTGGAGATCAGCTCCTCCACCAGCATAATGGGACCCAGCATCCCCGCCAAGACTCGGGAGGTGCTTGTGAGTCACCTGGCATCTTACAACACGTGGGCTCTGCAAGGTATGTGTGGAGTTTCCTGTGGGCGTGGCAGGCAGCTGTGAAAGCCATCAGTGTTTGAAGCCTATACTTGCCCCTCCCCAGGTGCTGTGAGTGGGGAGGCACCAGAGGGCTCCGGGCTAGCTGAGTGTGGAGGCTGGCTGGCTCTGATGCTAGCCTGTCACTCGACACTCTAGGCTCACACCTTTTCACCTTTGACTTCTCCAGCTGAAGTCTAGAGTTCAGTCTCATTGCTGTGGCTTGGGTCACATGTCCATCCAATCACTAGACGGTGGGGCTCTGATTTGCCAAGTTTGGGTCATGTGTCCCAAGAGCAGAGGAGGGGTAAGAGCAGAGGAGGATCACCCCCAGGGAAAACCAGAGTGCTCTTTCAGAAGAGTGGCCCAGTCCCCAGATAGCCCTTTGCACCACTCATTCCTGTTCTCTGCTAGGGCTACTGGGACTCACAAGGGGTAAGTTGTGGCAGCTGCCCTGTTTTGGGTCCTCACTTGGCTTGTGTCCCTGCAGGCATTGAGTTTGTGGCTGCCCAGCTCAAGTCCATGGTGCTGACCTTGGGCCTGATTGACCTGCGCCTGACGGTGGAGCAGGCCGTGCTGCTGTCACGCCTGGAGGAGGAGTATCAGGTGAGGAGCAGTACCTCAGGTCCTGCCTCCCCCTTCCTAGTTCAGACTCACTCTGGGGGAGCGGCTAACCCATATGAACTACTATATGTATACTTGGCTTTTATTGCTTTTGTGTATGTGCAGATATCAAAATCAAAGACCAGCAAAAGTATTATCAAGTAGACCTGGTGTGGTGGTTCACACCTGTAATCCCAACACTTTAGAAGGCTGAGGTGGGTGGATCATTTGAGGTCAGGAGTTCGAGACCAGCCTGAGCAATATGGCAAAACCTCATCTCTACAAAAAAATACAAAAATTAGTGCCTGTAGTGCCAGCTACTTGGGAGGCTAAGGTGGGAAGATTGCTTGAACCTGGGAGGTGGAGGTTACAATGAGCCAAGATTGTGCCACTGCATTCCAGCCTGGGTGACAGAGTGAGGCTCTGTCTCAAAAAAAAAAGGATTATAAAGTAATAACAATAAAAAAATAACAGTAAGTGCTGCTGCTGTGTCCTGCACTGTACCCATCTCACCTCCTCTCAGCAGCCTGGTCAGGTAGGAGCTGTGGTTATCTCTGTTTTACACAGGAGGAAACTGAGATGCAAGGTCGACCTCTGGAAAATGTGCCAGCTGGGGTTCGAAGCTAGGTCTGGTGATTCTAGGGCCAAGCTGTCAGGCCCCACTCTGCACATGGAGGTTCATAGGTGGATAAAGACCATCTGGGCTTGATAAAGCCTGCAGAACAACCCTACCAAGATCACTCTTTGTGCTCTTACATCAGCTGAGCCTTCATACCCTGACATTTTATCTGGCTGGCAGAGGAGTATGGGATAGCTGCTAGTTGTATACAAGTTTTGATTTAGTGGGCTCAGAATTAAGGTTTTGCTACAGTATGGTTTGCAATTTTTAACTCTGAAAATTATGGCCATCTTTGCAGTCTTTTTGTTATGATTCCTCCAACTTCAGAAGGTTAATTGCTATTATGAATTGGTCCCTAGTATCGTTAAAAAAAAAAAAAAGCTTTTTATAATGTATTTCCCAAGTTCGTATAGTCTTCTGCTCAGAAAAATGCCAGAGGAAAACCTTTTTTATAACAAAGGAGGCCCACTACTATTCTCTGGTGTCAGAACTGATTACATAGAAAGGGAGTGACTTGTAGGGCTGGTGGGAAGCCAGTCTAGGCTTTGCTTCTGACTATAGGACCCAAGCCAGGCCATCATTCTCTCAACTTGGGTTCCAATACTCTACAAACAGGAATAACCTGAATTATGTATGTGATGGTATACAATGAAAGTATGGGATGCTCTTCAGATAACATATTACAATTGCACAGATTGGGATTAGGCAGCCCAGAAGTTCAAATAGCTTGTGTAGCATGGCAGATTCTGAGTTCCTGGATGAGCTGGGGCGGCCAGGCCAGGCTTCTTAGGCCCCTAGCCAGGAAGGAGCCAGCAGGGTCTGGTTGGAGTTACACTGTCTGGACAGCCACACTGTGTGTCTAATAAGGGTTCTTCCCTCTTGTTTTTAGAGTTCCAGACAGAATCTGCAACCCCCATTGTGCAGAGCAGAGACATCTGTAGTTCTGTGACTACCTCAGGAGTCAGAGCTGAAGCCACTGTATGGCCTTGCTTGATTGAGTTATTCCCAGCCCAGCATGCCAATGCAGCTTGCAGAGGCTGTCAGTTCACAGGCTTCCTGGGAGGAGATGTAGGAGAAGGAATAGCACATAGGTCAGGTCTCCTCAAAGAAGTCATATGGTGGTTCTGGTACCCAGCCTGCCCAGTTGTGGGGGCCTGGGCCTGGATTGTACTTCTTCTAGACAATCCATGCCACAGAGAGCACAGGTGCCTGCTCTGGATCCCTAGGGGTGTGTGTGTGTGTGGTTTTTGAGACAGGGTCTTGCTCTGTTGCCCAGGTTGGAGTGCAGCAGGGTGATCTCGGCTCACTGCAGCCTCAACCTCCTGGGCTCGAAGCAGTCCTCCCACCTCAGTCTCTCAAGTAGCTGGGACTACAGGTATGCCCTACCCCCACACACACATACCCAGCTAATTTTAAAAACTTTTTGTAGAGATTAGGTTTCACCATATTTGTCCAGGCTGGTCTTGAACTCCTGGGTTCAAGCTGTCTTCCTGCCTCGGCCTCCCAAAGTGCTGGGATTACAGGCGTGAGCCACCATGCCTGCTCCACCTGGGTGTTCTTACCTGCCGCCTCCCCCTAGGCATGTCTCACATGTTTTGGCAGGATCCAAACCTATTGCCCTTGGCTGAGCTATTGAATGGAATGTGGCTTTGGCCAGGAGGCAGCCAGGCACTGGCCACTCACATAGCAACTTGTCTTGTCCTTCCCTCAGATCCAGAAGTGGGGCAATATTGAGTGGGCCCATGACTACGAGCTGCAGGAGCTGCGAGCCCGCACTGCTGCCGGCACCCTCTTCGTCCATCTCTGCTCCGAGAGCAGCACAGTCAAGCACAAGCTCCTGAAGGAGTGAGGCCCAGCAGGATGGTGGCAGTACAGCCACAGCTCCCCTGGCCTTCGGGGCTCCCCAGCCTGTGGGGCTGGCTCCCTTGGCCTTTGGGGCTCGGACTCAGAGTCACCCTGAGATTCCCCCGAGACACAGTGTGCTAGTGCAGCTGTCCAGAGGTCAGCCTGATTTCAACCCAGGTGCCCCTGGTCTGGCCAGCAATGAACGTGGGAGACAAATTGTACAAATGACTTTCTCTCAACACTGATTTTATTAAATATTTCTCCACCCTGGAAATGTGCTGAGCCCTGTTTTCACGTGTGCCTCGGCACTTCTCAATTCTTCCTGTTTTGTCCAGGTTTCATAAGGTTCAATAGCTTCTTTCCCACGGCGTGTTTGGGTATCTGCTGCCTGGTTGGGAACCTCGCACTGGGGAAACAGTCATGTCATACACAGGCAGCTCTATTTGTATTCTTCAGCCTCAGCCTGAAGGCTTTTTTTGGCTGTTTTTTAATCAAACGATCTTGAAATGATCTTGGTCTAAGCTGGTTGTTTCTATTTGTTCCTACTGTTCTAAAACAGATTATTTACTCGAGAAAGTAGAAAATAGAAATTGTTCCTGGGCTAAAAGCCTGGATGGTCTTGGCGAAGTCACCTGATGTCCATGTTTTCACTCATCACCCACCCCAGGAGTCCTAAGGGTCCTCCCGACACAACCACCTCTAGTGTCCGACACAACCACCTCTAGTGTCCTGGGAGGCAGACACTGCTTTCTGGTGACCAGCCAGTGAGACGGCAGTGGGGAGACCATGGTTCTCAGGCAGACAGGCTCTCTCAGCCCTGTGTCTTTGCCAGGCTGAGTAAGGAAATGGCATCAACACTGCTCACAGGGCACTGATCACATGCTGGGTGCCTCTCCACGCTTCCTATGCACTGTTCCCTGAACCGTTCCTCGACAGCACTCTGAGGTACTATCACTCTAAGGTACTGTCACACCAGGGCTGTGGAGGTGACGTAGTGGAGCAGAGATGCCCCGCCTGTGCTCTGCTCTTCTGGAGGGTCCTCAGGTCCCTGTGGCTATCATGAGCCTTGGTGGGCAGGCCCAGGCCCCAGCACTGTGGTGGGAGCTGCAGCCTCTCCTGCTTCCCCGCCCCTCAGCACCCAGAGCAGAGAAGGTCTCAGCCCACCCCAGCCTCTTCTTGCTTGTTGGTAGCAGCCTGCCTGGGTGTGGCAGGGGAAACAGCAGGGGCACGTGTCTGACTTTATGCCACAGCCAAGAGTCTAGCCAATGGCAGCGCCCTTGGGAGTTGCTCTGTCAGCTGCCCTGGGACCAGCTGTTTGTCTCAAACTCTTCCCTCCTGTTCATACATGAACATGAATTCTAATTTTTTTGGGGGGGGGATGGTCTCCTCTCTTGCCCATGCTGGAGTACAGTGGCTCAGTATCAGTTCATTGCAGCCTCTGCTTCCCAGGTTCGAGAGATTCTCTTGCCTCGGCCTCCTGAGTAGCTGGGATTACAGGTGCATGCTACTACATCTGGCTGATTTTTGTATTTTTAGTAGAGATGGGGTTTCACTATGTTGGTCAGGCTGGTCTCGAACTCTTGACCTCATGATCTGCCCACCTCAGCCTCCCAAAGTGTTGGAATTACAGGCGTGAGTCACTATACCCAGCCGGTTTTTTGTTTTTTTTTTTTAAACGAATAGGGGAAACGTGACATGAATCCTTTATTTTCTCTACGTTTGGAAGTTCTTCCAGGGCTGGGGGAAGAATGGTGTTGGGGATCGTGGTTGAGAGATGCCAGCAACTCTCCCGATGATGCTTGGTGAGGCATGTGCACTTCCTTCTCCTAGTTGGGGCTGGCGCTTTGTTTTGAAGAAGCCCCTGTGGCTGACACTCATCTAGTCTAGGATGTCACTGTATTCGAGGTTGTCCAGTTCACTCTTCATGTGGTCGATGTACAGACTGATCTCCTTCACGCGCTTGCGGTTCCTCATGATCTCATCCCTGTGAATCTGAGGAATGAAACCAAAACCAAAGCCCGATTCCTTACATCATATCATTGGTTAATATTTTTTTTTTTTTTTTTGAGACAGAGTCTTGCTCTGTCACCCAGTCTAGAGTGCAGTGGCATGATCTTGGCTCACTGCAACCTCTGCCTCCTGGTTCAAGCAGTTCTCCTGCCTCAGCCTCCTGAGTACCTGAGATTACAGGTGCATGCCACCATGCCTGGCTAATTTTTTGTATTTTAGTAGAGACAGGATTTGACCATGTTGCCCAGGCTGGTCTCAAACTCCTGAGCTCAGGCAATCCAGCCACCTCAGCCTCCCCAAGTGCTAGGATTACTGTTTGAGCCACCGTGCCCAGCCTCATTGGTTACTATTTTTCACTGAGTTCAGTTTGAGGGAAGGGAAAACAGTTCCTTGAGATCTGCAAGCCGCCTCATTTGCTTCAGAGCCCTGCCAGGTTCTGCTGATCTCTATATTTGAAGTAGGAGTTAGAAAAATGATGAAGCCCACGGGTGTTAAAGTCTCTGGGCAATGTTGTCTTCATTGTGGAGTTCTACAATCCTTAACTTTGTTTCTTTCTTCATTTCATTCCTTAATGAAAATTCTATCCACTACCTACGGAGGACTTCCACGTCAGCCTAAACAATTCTTCCAACCTGATAGGATGGCTTGGCGTTGACTCACCTTGTCTACTAAACGTGTACACCAGGAGTTGATTCTGGTCACCAGTTCATCTTCTCGATTGTCAATCTTCAGGAGGTGGATGTCATGCGATGCCCCGACAGCATTAACAATCGTATCCTTATCAACAAAAAGCTGGTGAGTGAAAAGAACCCAGTGAGATCGTGTGTGTCATTACACCCCGAACACTAAGAGAGCTGAATAGCAAAGGAGCATTTGGAAGTTACCTGGCTGTGCAGGCCACACTCGGAGAAGAGCCCACCTTGCTATCAGTGTACTCTGCTGATTCATCTGTGAATTCATCTGTGACAGCCGCCTCCCCGACCGCGCAGGGCAGGTGTTGTGGGGAAAGAGCCAACCAGGGTGTTACTTTGCAGTCCCTGCTGGAAGCATGTTTCCTCCAGGGTGAAGGCAGGTGGCTGCCCAGGGGGTACCTCACCCAGGACATCTGTTCTCACAATGCTTCTCTCTCAGTTACTCTCAAGTCTGACTTACCCAAAACCTCTGCCTGCTGGGTGAAAGGAAGGCTGGCTGAGGGTCTCAAGGCTGCTCTGAGGACAGCAGGCCCTACAAACTGATGGATGTTCACCCCACAGTTGTCCCTCCACTGCCATTCATGTCAACAAAACCAAACCTTGGATTCCATTTGGGTTCTCCTTCTGCCTTCTCTTGTTCCTGATTTTGTTGTCTCATAAAAGTTGTTAGAAATAACCACCCTCTAATAGGCCTCACTGGTTCTAGGTGTTGATACTATGGCTGTTGTTGCTTGGCGTGGTTGAAATGGAGTCGCTTCCTAGAGCAGGGCAAGGCCACTGAAGCTCAGTAAGCAGTTGCTTCCACCTTGAAGCAGAGGCGCTTGGTAAGGCAGAGCAGCTGAATGCTCTATATTGCAGGGAGGACTTGCAAGTGGAGTATATACTTTTTGTTCTTTCCTATAGTGGCAGTTAATGGTCTCTAAAACATGTTCTGTAGAATCCTAAGATGTTAATATTTCTGCCAAAAAAAAAAAAAAAGTATTCTTCTTTGGTCAAATACATTTGGGAAAGCCAGCACACCTTAGGTCCCTGCTGAAAATTTGCAGGGTACAAAGTATTCCAAAGGCTCTACAAAGTCCTGTGGAAAATAAACCGTTTAAGCTTTATCTCTCTTGGTTTTCCCACTTATTTGGCCACATGCTTCAGAGTGATGCCTGTTAATGTTTTGTGGGATGCTGATTTTCCACAGAATCCCATGTGGGAAAATCCAGGTTAGCTGATGTGCGGAATGGGGTGTCTGGGGAAACAAGGGAGAAATGCAAGAAATTATTAAGTTCTTTCCATGTGTGTACAAGGTCCCAGGCCAGGCTCTGGGAATGGCTCAGAGGTGTGTAAAGACTGTTTTTGGTGAGCCTCAGCAGTGTGCTTAGGAGTGGGGGTCCTGGTTATTTTAGAGATGACTACAACCACAATGTCAACCCATCATAAAAAGGTTCTCATCCTTCATTCTGGGTCATAGTGGAGCTCTTAAGCCAGGCAGAGAAATCATCCCCCTCAGAGTTTGAATATGTAGAAAATAGCTTTAAAAGTTGTGAGAAGCAACAGAAAGTGAAGTCTGCTTAGAAACATATATGATTAGAATTGGTTATGAAAAACTGTGACATTTGTAAAACACAAACACAAGGAAACTGGTTTCAGGGAATTATTTTGAAATGTAAGTTACAAGTTGTTTCTGGACTATGGGTGGCCTAGAGTGGCGGCTACTTCAATTATCCCTCTTAGAATAGTTTTTGTGGGTAGAATATTCTGGATCCCTCAACAGTTTCTGCAGGTTGAAAGCCCTAGGGTGGGGGCAGGGGCCATGCAAAAAGGTACTCCTGAGTCTTTTTTGACCTATCGCCCTGCTCTGTAGTCCTTGTGGCTGTAAAGACTCATTTCTTTCAAAGCAACTTCTTTGTTTAAACAATGTTGGCATCTTTAAAAATTGACTAATAACTGTACCTATTGATGGGGTACATAGTGATGTTTCAACACCTATCATGTATAATGATCAGATCAGGGTATTAGCATATCCATCTCTAACATTTATCATTTCTTTGTGTTGAGAACATTCGATATCCTCCTTATAGCTATTTGAAACTATATAATATATTGTTGTCAACTATAATCATCCTACCCGAGGTATAGAATACTAGAACTTATTCCTCCTATCTAGATGTAATTTGGTATATTCTTTAACTAATATCTCCCTATTCCTCCATCCCCCTACCTTTTCCAGTCTCTGGAAGCCTCTGTTCTTCTTTTTACTTCTATGAAATAAACCTTTTTAACTTTGGCATATGAGCGAGAACATGAGGTGTTTAATTTTCTGTTCCTGGCTTATTTCACTTAACATAATGTCCTCCAGTTCCATCCATGTTGCCATGAATGCCAGGATTTCATTCTTTTTCATGGCTGAATAGTATTCCATTGTGTATATGTACCACATTTTCTTTATCCAGTCATCTGTTGTTGGGACACCTAGGTTGATTCTGTATCTTGCTATTGCTAACAGTGCTGCAGTAAACATGAGCGCAGATATCTTTTCAATATAGTGATTTCCTTTCCTTTGGATAAATGCTCAGTAGTGAGATTACTGGATCATATGGTTCTGTTTGTAGTTTTTGAGGACCCTCCACAGTATTCTCCCTAGTGGCTGTCCTAGTTTACATTCTTACTAACAGTATATGAGAGTTCCTTTTTCCTTGCATCCTTAGCAGCATTTGTTTTCTTTTTTTTTTTTTTTGTCTTTTTGACAATCATTATCTTAAGTGGGGTGAGATGATGCCTCATTCTGGTTTTCATTTGCATTTCCCTGATACTTTTGTGATGCTGAAAGTTTTACATGTATTTGTTAGCCATTTGTGTTTTCTTTTGAAAAACATCTGTTCAGATGTTTTAAATTGAATTGTTGTTGAGATGTTAGAGTTCCTTTAATATTCTAGATATTAATACCCTATCAGATAAGTAATTTGCAAATATTTTCTCCTATTGTGTAGGGTGTCTTTTCACTCTGTTGATTGTTTTATTTGCTGTGCAGAAGATTTATAGTTTGATATATTCCCATTTATTTATTTTTGCTTTGGAGGTCTTATTCATAAATTTTTTTCCCAGACCAATGTCCTAAAGCATTTCTCCTGTTCTGGTCATTTTATAGTTTCAGGTCTTTTGTTTTGTTTTGTTTTTTTTCTGAGACAAGGTCAGGCTCTATGGCTCAGGCTGGAGCGAAGTGGTGCAATTTCCGCTCACTATAACCTCTACTTCCTGGGCTCAAGCTATCCTCCCACCTCAGCGTCCTCAATAGCTGAGACTACAGGCACACACCACCATGCCCAACTAATTTTTGTGTTTTTTTTATAGAGGTGGGGCTTTGCCATGTTGCCCAGGCTGGTCTCAAACTCATGAGGTCAAGCAATCTGCCTCTCAGCCTTCCAAAGTGCTGGGATTACTATGCTCTACCAGTTTCAGGTCTTACATGTAGGTCTTTGATCCATTTTTAGTTGATTTTTTTATAGGGTGACAGGTGGGGATCTAGTTTCATTCTTCTGCATATGGATATACAATTTTCCCGGCACAATTTATTGAAGAGACTGCTTTTTCCCCAGTGAATGTTCTTGGCACTTTTGTCAAAAATCATTTGGTTGTCAATACATAGATAATTTTTTTCTGAGTTCTCTATTCTGTTTCATTGGTTTATGTATCTGTTTAAAAAAGAACAGGCTTAATTCACTTTATTTTTCTTGTATAAAATCCCTGGGTTACCTTGGGAAGCCAAAGCGGGCAGATCACCTGAGGTCAGGAGTTTGAGACTAGCCTGGCCAACATTGGTGAAACTCTGTCTCTACTAAACCAGGTGTGGTGGCATCTGCCTGCAGTCCCAGCTACTTGGCAGGCTGAGGCAAGAGAATCATGTGAGCCTGGGTGGCAGAGGTTGCAGTGAACCAAGATCGCACCACTGCACTCCAGCCTGGGCAACAGAGCGAGGCTCCATCTCAAAAACAAAAACAAAAACAAAAAACCCTGTGTTGTAGCCACAGCCGGAACCTGGGTCCTCTGCAGAGACTCTGGTATGGGCCTTGACAAGATAGTCAGTGAATTCCTGATAGGAAGACTTGGTGACCTCCCAGAGGTCAGGGGTCAGGTAGCTATGGGTCTTGGAGATGGCATCAAAGGTGGCCTTGGCAAAGTTGCCCAGAGTAGCAATGCACCCTCTGGCTGAGGTGTAGCGGTTGTCAGTACTGGCCATCAGCAGCATCTCCTTGGGGACAGAGGCCAAGAGGATGCCAGTGCCCCTGAGTGCAGGGATAAGTTGCAGCAGCACGGAGCTGCAGCAGCTTGTCATCTTGCAAGGGATAGTGTGGGGCTAGCGATCTTGGTCCTCCAGTAGCCTCTCTGCATGGGGACAATGGAGAGCTTGGCTAGGATGATGGCCCCTCTGACGGCAGTGGCTGCTTCCTTGGAGCACTTAACACCCAGACTGATGTGGCCACTGTAGTCCCTGGTGGCAACAAACACCTTGAACTTCTATGCTGGCTGGGGCTGCCTCTGCACTGGCATAATCTTAAAAGCTCATCCTTGAGTGAGGCCCCCAGGAAAAACTCAATGATCTCAGACTACTTGATGGGCAGGGATAAGAGATAGCTCTCCTCCAGAGACTTGATCTTCATGTCCTTGACCAGGAAGCCCAGCATGGTGACAGGCATCCACTCCTCGGCCTTGCCTCTGAAAGCTCCATAGCTTTGGCCCCTGCCCCAACTATGGCCACAATCCTAGTCCCAGTTGCTGCTGACAAAGCTTCCATGGCTTCCTTTTCCAGGCCCCTGGGGCCACAGGGCCTTCCTGCTGCACTGGTGTCATTACCATTTGGTGTTTTCTTAGAGAAGTATGTGTCTGTTTTGTGCCAGTACCATGCTGTTTTGGTTACCACAGCTTTGTAGTATATTTTGAAGTCTGGTAATGTGATGCCTCCAGCTTTGTTCTTTTTGCTCAGTATGGCCTTGGCTATACAGGGTCTTTTGTGGTTCCAAATTATAGGATTTTTTTTTTCTGCAAAGAATGTCATTGGTGTTTTGATGGAGATTGCACTGAATCTGTAGATTGCTGCTAGTGGCTTGAGGACTTGCTGCCCCATGGCACATGGGATCAGATCATTCTGTCACACCAAGGAAGGGCACCTGATGACCCTGTAGTCCCCTCTGCCACAAACAAAGGAGCAGTTTGGCTTGATGGGGCAGGGACAAGCCAGAGTCTCCTAGTGCCAGCCAGAATCTTGTGGCAGTCCCATATCCAGAGACTGCTGGCTTGGGTCAGACCCACTGCCACTTGAGCAGAACCTGGGGACCTGCATCCTCCTGTGGCCTGGGCCTGAGCACTCACCCTGCCCTCGCAACTGGACATCCACATGGATGTTCAGAGCAGCCAGGCAGCACCTCTGACCTCCCCACCTCCCTAAATGGGCAGCTGTGGTTGCCAGCACCACTCAGATGCCCTCCCTCAATGCAGGCTCCAGGCTGTGTCCTCAACATGTATGTTCTGCTTTTCCTCTCAAAGCTGGAAGGACTTTAGATGTGGGACAGACTGGCCCCATGTAGGTCATGAGCTGATAACAGTCACTCAACTGCATGAGTGGAGTTTTATAGATAACCTACCTCATCAGGGTGACTTATCAAGATATGCTTATTGATAATTAGGTAACCGAAGCCAAATTTTTTTCACCCACAGCCCCAGTCCCTCCTCTGAACATCCCCATCTTGCTATAGGCTCAGTAGACATTTTGTCAAAGGCTTTCAATCAAACTGCCTGAGTTCAAGTCACAACTTTATCACTTATAAGCTGTATGTCCTTAGACAGGTTACCTTCATCTCTGTGCCTCAGTTTCCTCATCTGTAAAAGGGAACCATAATTGTACCTACTTTACCAGGCTGATGTGAAGATTACAAGAGCAAACATGAGTTCAGTGCTTCTTAGAGGGTTGGCCCTCAGGAGGTCCCCAGTCAATGTCAGTGACATATTATTCCTTTTTTTTTTTTGAGACAGGGTCTTGCTCTGTCAACCAAGCTGGAGTGCAGTGGCATGATCATGGCCCACCTTGACCTCCTAGGCTCAAGTAATCCTCCCACCTCAGTCTCCCAAGTAGCTGGGACCACCAGATGTGCATCACCATGCCTGGCTAATTTTTTGATTATTATTTGTAGAGATGGGAGTCTTGCTATGTTGCCCAAGCTGCTCTCAAATTCCAGGGCTCAAGTAATCCTTCCACTTCAGCCTCCCAAAGTGCTGTTGGTATTACTCATATAGTCAGAGCATATTTTTCCTCCTGAGAAGAATTGGCCATGTTTTTTGTTGCTTAGATGTAAGGAGACTTAGGCCATGGTATAAGGTCCTGGGGAGTCTCTTCCTTTAACTGCAGGTGTAAAACCACAGGAATGGCAGTCAGTTGGCACCAGGCAGAGCCAACTGGGCTGGGGGGAGGGCTGGCCATTGAAAATGCCAGCCAAGCCTGCTTTGCTGTTGGCCTCTGGATTCATCTTTTTCTGTGTGTCCCAGGCATTAGAAATTGAGTACATTTCAGTCCTGTGCCTTCTGGGTATCATAGAAATGGGAGCTGTGCTGGGAGGGATCTCCACCCACCCCAAGATGGTCTGTCTGGAGAATTCCAGACTGGTCACTCAGGGACAGCCTTACTTCCCAGGGAAGGTGGTATTTTCCTGTGTCTAGTCAATAGCAATTAGCCGCATTTAACAGCCTAGGGAGGGATGACTGTTGTCATGGTGACCCTGTCACCACACTGCTATGTTGGGTGTCTCTCTGGGCCCCAGGACAGAGGCTTTGGAAGTCAGGGACTGCTGGTCCTGTGTCTACAGAACTTAGCCCCATATCTGGCAGAGTGGAGGCGTGGTGAGCACACACTCTCACTCATTCTGCAGAAGACGCCTGGCATCTATGCTGCACATTGTACACTGTTGCTGGCACTGAGGAGGTACATGGTGGTAAAAAGGCCATCCCTGTCCCCCTTCATGAGCTTATATGTAGTATGAATAGTCACGTCAGCAAATACACATCAGCCAGATAGTTGGAAATTGTGATGAGGCTCTGACCTGATAAATGTGGTCCAGAGACAGTGGTTTTTCAGGAAGGTGATGAGAAAGGGCCTCTCCCAAGAGCTGACAGTCAAGCTGAAATCTGAATGACAAGGACAAGCCAGGCACATGGGGACCTGGGAAGAGCGTGTCTGCCAGGCGGAATATCAGCTGGAAGGAGCAAACCTGGGTGATTGGGGAATAGCTCAGAGGCTGCCACTGAGCATGAGGAATGAGGGGCCTGGGGGTGGGAATCGCCCATATGGGCAGGGCCAGCCACGAAAGTTCGGGGGACTATGGGGAGGAGCTTACTCTAGGGATCATGAAAGCCACTAGACGTTGTGCAAAAGTGTGCAGTGATGGGGTTTGGGTTTTCAAGGGTCCCTCTGGCTGCCAGTGGAGGACAGACTAAGAGAACAGTAAAGAGGTGAGCCGTCCATGCCAAGAAAGATGATGGCTTGTCTTGATGGTGATGTGGAGACAGAAGCAGCTGAGAAACTGGCAGTGGAGTGACTAATGCATGCACTAAAGCAGGCCCTGACAACAAAGTGTCTCTGCCTGGGCCCTTGATGCCTACACTCGTTCCAGAGACATAGACGTGCTGCTGCTGGACCCCAGCGCAGACATCCGGGAGAGCCTTCTTAGCATGCAGACTCCAGGGATGGAGCCAGGTGCCCAGGCCAATCCTACTGACTTTGTGACCACTCATCAGTGGATGTGCTGGTGCAAACTGGGCAGCATTGTGCTGGATCAGAAATGGTGGTTCCAACACCCCCACAGTACTCATCATAGAGAGTCTAAGGTTAAGACCTCCAAGGGAAATCTCAGACTTCAACCTCTATCTGTAACTGCTTCTCTTAGCAGCAGAAGCTTCCAAATAATTGAACTTTTGGAAACCAATGTGTTGAAAGTTGAAACCATCTAATTATCATGAGCTTCTCTTTAACTGAGCCCCACTGGTTGCCCCCCAAGGTGCTTTTGTCTGCCAGCAACCCTGCAAAGTGGGTTAGTGTCCCCTTTTGCAGATGAGAACACTGAGGCTCTGGGCAGTTGTCAGGCTTACTCTCAGAGCCTCAGTCCAGCCACAGAGCTGGGCTGGACCAAGTCTGTTAGACTCGGAGCAGTGCACCCCTCCCCGCCCCTCCCCTCTCGCCCAGCTCTGCCCCACCCCGCCCAGCTCCATCTCCACCCTGTGCCACCCAGTCCAACTCTGCCCCACTTTCCCCCTTCCCCCCTTCCCCCTTCCTTCCCTTCCTTCCTCCTGCCATGCTCAGCCTGCCCCGCCTACCGCGCGCACATCCTCAGACAGGTCCTCGTCCAGGTCGCCCTTGACAGCCTTCTCCAGGGTGCTGATAGAGATCTCCAGGAGCTTCTCATGGTGGTGGTTCTCCAGGTCCCGGCACTGGGCCATCGTGCAGCCACGAGTTAAGCAAAGGCCAGGGAGGAGGAGCAGGCCAGGGAGGAGCAGGCCTGGGGTGTCCCTGACACGCTCAGAGGGCCAGGGACAGAATTTAAGGGCCCAAGGTGAGCTCGGAGATTCTGGCTGGCAGCACCGTCCACCCACAAGCACCAAACTCTGGGCCATCCCAGACTCCCACCTCTGCCCCACACCTGGTCATCACCAACGGACCCTCGGCCCCTACCATCACACCCCTTCTCTCCCTCCTGCAAGGAGGCTGTTGGCGTTGGCCTCTGGGTTAACTGCTTCTTACCCTGTGCATTTGGTACCACTTGATGCCTCTATAACTTGTCTCCCTGAGGGACTGTGAGCCCCAGGAGGGCAAGACCAGAGGGCTGCTTCTAGCTCGATCACAGCAGTTTGCCCCATGTGGAGTACCTGAGTTCCAGTGGAAGAAGGTTAGCCATGCTCTAATGTTGGCTCCTCATCTTAACATTTCACCTGACACACTCCTTATAGTGTCTTCCATGTAGGGGTTGCCCACAACACAGGGGGCATCATCTCCCAGTGAACATAACCCATATGAGAACAATCATGCTGGGACTCTACTACAAACAGCCAGTCCCTGCACAGAAGTCCCTCTGAGCATCCAAACCACAGCTCTAACCAGGCCATCATTGTTCTGAAAGTCGGGAAAACCTCTCAGACCCTGTGGAACATTCTTTTGAACATGCTAAGTGGTTGCCAAATCTACAGCCTTTGAAGGTGAGCTTTTTTCTTGGTGAAAAACTGGAGTTTTTACATTCCTCTAATTTAGAAGTGAAGGAGGATTCCCACTAAATAGGATCCTGTGATGAATTTAAATATCTTGGCATAGATGCAGATCTTTCTGTAAATCAAACCAAGATTAGGTATTTCTGGTAAAAAGTGAAGTATGACTAGAGAGCACTGACTTTTTACTATCTCTGCCATTGTGTTCGGAGCACTGGGGGAAGCAGGGGGTATGGGAGTGTCTCTGCAGATGGCCACCTGGAAGAGGACCCCACTTTTTGTATCCTCTTAGTTTGCAAAGAAGCTTTACTCTTCCCTAGCTTTTGTTAAAAATTCAGGTGCCTCATCATTTTTGATTGCTGCACATGTACCCCAAAACCTAAAATGCAATTTAAAAAAAATGGAAAAAAGATAAAATAAATAAAATTTAAAAATTCAGGTGCCTCTTCCCCAGTTCCTCCAGAAGCCAGGACAACCCCATGGGCTCTGTAGTTCTTCCCCATGGCAGGAGGTCATCACAGAAAGGATATAGGCTTTGGACATTTTCGATAAAGAGTCCCACCAAATTGACAATGTTTCTTTCAAACATGCTTATAGTCTCCTGGAAATGTTAAAGAACACAGTTAATATGCACATTTAGACATCCAGCACAGAGCAAAAGGTGCTCCTTAGAATTTAGCAACCACCTCCTCTGCTCACAGGCCTTCAGGGTAAAAACTACCCATCTTGACCCTCCTGAGCAGATGGTTGTGAACTGACCCTCTGCTCTCTCTAGAGTTGTTGTTCTCCAACCATATTAACTCCCTCACCTTCTGAATGTTTAATCCTGTTACCGGAACTTTGCCAGGAACACTTGTCCCGATCTTACTCCCCTTACCTGCCTTCCCAACACACACACAAAGCTAACCCCCTCTCCTTTGGGTTTCTCAGTGACATCTGTGCATCACCCCTAGGGAAACTGTGGAGTGAGCTGTCAAGAGTCAGACTGCCTGGGTCAGTATCCCAGCTCCAGCACTGTGTGTAGCTCTGGGAAAGGCATTTCACCTCCTTGGGCCTTACCTTCCTCACCTGTGAAATAGGTTTCCTGCATAATCCCTGTGTTGTGGAGTCATGGTGAGGTTAAATGAGTAACTTCACACAAAAGGCTTTGCAAGGTGCCTGGCAGAGAGGAGGCCCTCAGTAGGAGCTGGCTATCACCCCATATCTCTTTCTGTTAGTTGCTGTTTTGTGGCACTTAGCAAGGCACCCAAGGCCCAAATGGGACTTAGTATTGATTGAAGGAACAATGGAAGATGGGATTTCCAGGCCTGCCTCTCTGGGATTGCCCCACCCCCATCTGCCATAGACTCCAGGGGCTGCAAGGTTGGCAGGGGTGGAATCTATAGGAACATGAGGACTGTCTACAGAGTGAGCAAATTACACAATTTTCAAACACATGTACATGCTGTTCTAGTGAATAAAAACAGGGTCATTGAAAAGCATGACTGCCCTTGTGGTCTTCTGGCCACCAGTAATACAAGTAGGACAGCGCATGGGTTCTGGGAAATGTTTGGATGTCAAAAAGCAATCTCCTTGCCTGAAAAAGGTTGGGAGCTGCTGCCTCGCCCTCCCCTGGCACTATGCGCTGCTTCTACAGTGCCTGTGTTCCCAGCAGGGAGGCAGCACCTGCCCTGTGATGTGATGTGGAAATCTATCCCATGTCTGAGGTGTCACTTGATGTGTGAGGAATTGATTAGGCACTATCTCTTGGCCCAGCCACAGCAGCATCTGATGAGGTTCAATTCATCACACCACTTCAGACTCCCAGCCTCCTCTGCCTTATAACACACACACTGGCCACTAATGAATCTCAGACAGCGGCGCTTTCCATTTCCACTACTTAGTGCTGAGTTGCAGCCTCCTTGCATCGCCTGAGAAGCAGCAGCTGCAGGCTGCAATGCGGGGAGCCTTTGTTTGGTCCCCGAGGGGGGGTCCGTTTTGCCTTTAGAGTACCTGGATAGCTCCTTGGGTCTAATCGAAAACCTCTCCCCAGTGACTTCTTGGATAGAGGGAACGTTTCAGAGGAATGAGTTCACCTCTCATTTTCCACAAGAGTCACTTCCAATCTAAATGATTAAAATGCATTAAAATCAAACACAGGACTGAAGAGCAAGAAGCTGCAGCCTGCCACACCGAGTCATGTTGGACGTTTCCAGCAGAGGCATGCCTATGAAGGCTGCAGTTCACCTATGGATGTGCAGCTGCATCCTCAGATTCTGGCACCTGTGCCCAGGGCCCAGCCTCACCTCCAGCTGCTCCACCAGCTGCATCTCCAGCATCATGAGGGCATCAAACAACTCACTGATGTCAGTGCTGCATTCCAGGATCATCTTCTCAATGTTGGGCATCTCCAACTCCTCTCGAATGGCACTTAAACTCTGGAAACAATAGACTGCACTTTAGGAATCAACAACTAAGTGGGGTTAGATAATGGCAGGTGCTAATTTGGTTTTGTGGGTAAGAATTTGGACTCTGGAGTCAGCCTGCCCAAGTACAAGTCTTGGCTTTGCCATTTGCTGGCTTTGAGAGATTGTGGAAGCTATGTCCCCTCTCCGTGCCTCAGTTTCCTGCTCTGTAAAGTGCAACTGACAGCCCCTAACTTGACACAGGGAAGAGAACATATGTCAGGCTCTCTGGGCACTAGCAAGCACTCACTCCCTGTTAGCTCTGGTTTCTATTGGAGGCTGCTAGGCAGGGTGGAAGGAGCCATGGCTTTCATGGGGTTCAGAGCATTTCACATCAAAATATGCCACTTTGGCATAGTGATTATTTTGAGTTAAAGATACTTAAAAACAGAAAATGCAAAGAGGACACCCTGACCACCCTTTTTCTTCCTGAAAGCAGGAGTTATATCTCCCATGGGAAAGGTGCCCTCCCTGTACCAGGAGGAAGGAAGGCATTCTAATCAGAGGCAGGGAGTCTAGGCCAAGGGGAATCTGTTTGAACAAACCTTGTTAAACTAACCCTCATCTGCCTCATCACTTATCTATGATGAACTGCCTTAGCCCAAACCTCTTTGCCTTGTCACGTTCTCACAATTCACTACTCTGTCCAACCAAGTATATAAGCTTTCAGCCTTAACGGCTTCTTGAGCCTTCATTTTGCTTGTGAATGCTCTCATGTACATGTAAAAGTCACTAAATAAACATTGTATGATTTTCTCTTGTTTGTCTTATGTCAGTTTAATTCTTGGTCCCAGTTGTAATAAGCTAGAGGAAAAAATTTACCTGCCTTACAGCTTCATAGTTAGGTGGACCTGAATTTGAATCCTGCCTGGGTCATTTAGCAGTGTGACCTTGAGAGACCCACTTTCATTCTCTGACTCAGTTTCCTCCCTCTAAATGGGAAGAAGCATCTCTGTCTCACATGGTCCTGGGGATCAGAGGCCGTGTTCAGGAAGCACCTGGTGCACAGGTTGTTGTCCAGGCTGGTCTCGAACTCCTGACTTCAGGTGATCCACCCGCCTCAGCCTCCCAAAGTGCTGAGGTTAGAGGCGTGAGCCACCATGCCCAGCCAACTAATAACTTTTTAAAAAAGAAAGGTCTGATCTGATGGTAGTGGGTTATCAGAACTTACTAAATTTGGTGTCACTAAAGTTGGTATACAATCTCCCACTGCTAAATTTGACTAGCTGAAAAAAAAAAAAGAAAGAAACAGCCAGGTGTGGTGTGTGTTCCTATAGTCCCAGCTGCTTGGGAGGCTGAGGCAGGAGGATTGCTGGAGCACAGGAGTTCAAGGCCACAGTGAGCTATGATGGTGCACTGCACTCCAACCTGGGCAACGGAGTTAAACCCTATTTCTAAAAATAATAATAAGTAATTAAGAAGATAGAGGCTGGGCATGATGGCTCATGCCTGTAATCGCAGCACTTTGGGAGGCCAAGGTGAGTGGATCACCTGAGGTCAGGAGTTCAAGACAGGACTGACCAATATGGAGAAACACCGTCTCTACTGAAGATAGAAAATTAGCCGGTCATGGTGGTGCATGCCTGTAATCCCAGCTACTTGGGAGGCTGAGGCAGGAGAATCACTTGAACCCAGGAGGTGGAGGTTGTGGTGAGCCAAGATCATGCAAGTTGCCTTGCACTCCAGCCTGGGCAACAAAAGCAAAACTCTGTCTCAAACAAAAAAAAAAAGAGAGAGAGAAACCAAAAACCAAACAGAAAAATGCACAAGGGCAAAATGTAAGTACAAATATAAGTACAGAATAAGAGACACAAACAGTTGTAAAACATGTATTGCTCATCCCCACTTAAGAGAAAATAAGCGAATACTCAAGGTACATGGATTGGCAAACACGAGGAAGCCTGTGACCCTGGCCTGACATTGGCTGTGGAAGGTGCAGGTTCTGTGGGGTACAGCTGGACAATAACCATGAAAAGGACCGATGCACAGTTCCACTTCTAGGATTTCATCCTGCAGGTCAAACTTGCACCAACTTATTCAGTGCAACACTAAAAGAGCAAAAGCCTGGGGAAAAACCTAACTGTCCATCAGCAGGGACTGGCTAAATAATTATGGCTCATCCATGCAATGCAATATTTTAGTTATAAAAAAATGAAGCAACTTTTTCATTTGGAAAGCAAAGTACAGAACAGAGCATGCTATGCACACACACACACACACACACACACACACACACACACACAGATACAGGGGTGGGAGGGAGATGGTCTCCCCCGGTGGACATTCTTCAGTCTGTGCCATGTGCACATACCACCTATTCGAGAGTGCATCTGACTACACACAGACACGCTGTCGCCCTTTTTGGCTGACTCTGCTCAGGCCCTGCATAAATGCTTTCCCTCTCTGTCTCTGTTTCTCACTGCAGTTCTTCAAGGTTGTCTCTGTTCTGCAACTGAGGAAATGGAGGCTAGGAGAGGGTCAATAATATTTCTCTGGGTCACCAGTGAGGAGTCTGCCTGAGCCCCAAGCCTTATATGGCTGTACCATGACTCTGAAACGCGGCTTACTGGGCACCTGGAGCAGCGTGCCTCTTTCGATAGATGAGGCCTAATGTGGGTGAGTGGGAGGGGCGGAGAAAAAACTATAGGAGAGGGCCTGTCAGGGAGGGAACTGGGGGTCTGCAGGGCTCGTGGAGTCTTGGGAACTTCCAAGTCAGTGGCCCCTATCTAGGCTGTGCATGGAAGGTACCCGGGAACTCTGTCTGGGAAACCCCTGTGGCAGGCCATGCCCCAAATAGTCTAAGTGGGTACTGTTGGACCTGGATGTGAGCAGGTTTCCAGAGACTAGGGACTCCACATGCAGGCTGGGCAGAATCCCTGCGCTCAGCTCTAGACGGGGAGCACTAGGGTAGTCAGCTCATCCCAGGTGGCCTTTGAGAAGCCGGCCTGCACTGAAGGCATATGCCTGAATGGAAGAGCAAGTGGCTCTTGGAACGTTCCATGTTCCAAGTCAGGCTTGGTTTGGCATGGCCCATGTCCTGCTTCTGCAGAGGGGACTCACTACTGAGGGGCCGGGTCCCTGCACCAGGCTTCAGGAGGAGCCAGCTAGCTGACATTTAGGCATCCCAAGCCCAGTGGCTACAGGGACCAGGCAGGAAGGCTGGACAGGGACTGAGGGACTGGAGATATGACCTGTCCAGAGGGGACAACTGCCACTCAAGCCCTGATTACAACTGCTTCCAGAGAAGCTGGTAACCACAATTTTTCTGTGAAATCTGCTAGTTTCTAACGTCAGCAGGATGTTCATAATGTTTTAATACCCTCTGCAGTCCAAATAAAACACATATGTGAGCCAAATGGATTCCTCCACTGACAGTTTTAAACTTCTGCTTGAACACAGTAACCCCTGCTCCCTAAAACATGATAAGGAGGGTCTTGAGAGTTAAATCACACAGCATGTGAGGCCTGGAGTTAATGAGATAGGAATGCAGGTGGCCGAGGGGGAGGCGGGAAGCACATGGGAGTGGATCAGATCTGAAGTTGCACACTGGAGACTGCTCTACTTTAAGCTCACAACAAGGAAGGGCCTTATGGGCTCCTTAAAGCCCCTTATGCTGCAGGAAGCTTGGTGTGTGTGAACACTTTTTTGAGGAAAAAGGTTTACAGTTTTCCTTAGTGTCTCATAAAGATCTGTGATTTAGAATAGGCTAAGCATCCTGTCTTTAAAGTTAATGCCAACCGAAAGAGGTGGTTGCCATCAAGTACAAAGATTGGTGCCCTTCCCAATGGCCCCTGCTTGGGCTGGAACCCGTGACCTGGTTAGGCTGAGTCCTGACCACCCTGAGCCTTCTCCTTTGCTGCTCCTGGTGGGTGGAGGAATGCCCTCCCACCCCATCAACTTATCTTTCTCCTGTGAGCCTCAGCCTTCCCTAAACTCCTCAGCCTGAGATAAGGCACCCCTAGGGCACCTGCAAGCCTCCCCCAGCTTCCCTCCAGGATGGCACTGATCCCTCTGTTTTCTCAGGTTGGGGCTGGGGCCAGGGCCTGGGTCTGAGACCCACAAGGGCAGGAACCACGTCCAGTGTGGCTTCAGCTTCCTAGGGCCAGGCAGAGAGTAGAGCTCAGAAAATGTCTATTAAATGAATGAATGAACAAAAGAAAAGGATAGTAATCTATCAAAATAGTTACTGTCAAAATAGTAATGGTAATACTCATACAGTTATTAATAGTAATGATGATGATAAGTTGGGGGGTGGGGCTGACCTTGAATCCCAAGGGCGTTTTGTGTGACAAAGGTCCACAAGCCACATGTCGAGCAGCGGGGAGCTGTGGTTGGTGGTGCTGGGGTAAGGCAGGCCTTGGTTCTGCCACTGATTAGCTGTGTGTTCGCTGGCAAATGGGGACAACAACCATGGGCCTCAGGGATCATCAAAGGGTACAGGAGTTGCAGCCCCTCTACAGTGGGGGGTGGCAGGGCCAGGGAGGGCCTACAGCAGGAGGCAGGGAGAGCCTCAGGTGGCTCGGGGCCTACCATCAAGTGCTTCTCCTTGAATTTGGCAATCTTGCGTTTGCCCTGCTCCTGGTTTTCCTGGATGGCCTCGTGGACACATTCATTGAAGGTGTCAAGCTCTGTTTTCCACTTCTCCTGCTGTTTCAGGCCATACTCAAAAATGTTCACACAGATGATGACAAACTTGTCCCTGTAGGTGAGTAGCGGTTAAGAAAGCCCACAGCTGTTTCAGGAGCAGGCTGCCGGGGTCACCGCAAAGGTGTTGGTAAGCCTGGCACAGGGCAGAGGCTGTGCCCTCAAGAGTGTGTGGGACTCAAACTCCTGGTATCATTTGGTTCATTTGGTGGATGAAGAAATCAAAGGCCCAGAGAGCCAGGAGCCAGGATTGAGATGTGAGCACCGTGCCTGTTTGGTGCCTCCCTACCCCCAGCCTGAGGGATTCAGGAATGGGGCCTGTGTGAAGAAAGAAGGCAGGGGCCTTCAGGGAGTCTACAGAGCAGAAGACAGACATTCACAGAGAGGCTCCAGAAGGGAGGCCTGGGAACCTGGGGACCTGTGAGCCGGTCCCAGCTGGGGAAGGCCTATAATCCCTATAACCATGCCTATAATCCCAGCACTTTGGGAGGCCAAGGCAGGAGGATTTCTTGAGGCCAGGAGTTTGAGACCAGTCTAGGCAACATAGTGAGACACTATCTGCATTAGTTTGTTTCACGCTCCTGATAAAGACATACCCAAGGCAGTGTGCATTTCTGTCTCTGATGTGCTATCTGGAAGGGCACCCTTACTGAGGGCCTGTCTTGGTGCTCAGCTGCTGCAGCTGTGCTGGGGATGTTCAAGTCCTGACTCTGCCACTGATTCCAGGACCCACCCTGGCAAATTACTTTACCTCTCTGGGCCTAAGTTTCTTCATCTGCTGCTGACGGTGCAAAAGAGCCTGCCACATGGAGTCCTTAGAGTTGGACAGGTAAAACCCACAGGGCCTTGGTGATCCTGTGAGATGGAAGCTGATACCCAGAGAGATGAAATGCCTTGCCCGAAGTCATATGGCTATATAGTACTACAGCCAAGGCAAACCGGGGTCACGGGCTGGCAGAAACAATCCAGTGCGGGAGCCCTGCTCTTCACTGTTCCTCCCCACCCTGCCCTCATTATTTCTAGAATGTCAGGTGTGAGTATCTGGTTTGTTTTTAGAGCTGTGTCCCCACCCAAACTCATCTTGAATTGTAACTCCCACAATTCCCACGTGTTGTGGGAGGAACCTGGTGGGTGGTAATTGAATTATGGGGGTGGATCTTTCTTGTGCTGTTCTCATGTTAGTGAATGAGTCTTCCAAGATCTGATGGTTTTAAAAATGGGAGTTTCCCTGCACAAGCTCTCTTTCTTTGCCCACCACTATCCAGGTAAGACACGACTTGCCCCTCCTTGCCTTCCACCATGATTGTGAGGCCTCCCCAGACATGTGGAACTGTAAGTCCAATTAAACGCCTTTCTGGCTAGGCACAGTGGCTCATGCCTATAATCCCAGCACCTTGGGAGGCCGAGGCAGGTGGATCAGCTGAGGTCAGGAGTTTGAGACCAGCCTGACCAACATGGTGAAACCCAGTCTCTACTAAATATAAAAAATTAGCTGGGTGTGGTGCCACATGCCTATAATCCCAGCTACTTGGGAGGCTGAGGCAGGAAAATTGCTTTAACCCAGGAGGTGGAGGTTGCAGTGAACCAAGATTGCACTGTTGCACTCCAGCCTGTGCAACAAGAGCAAAACGCTATCTCAAAAAAACCCAAAGCCTCTTTCTTTTGTTAATTTCCCAGTCTTCGGTATGTCTTTATAGGAGTGTGAAAACAGACTAATACAGCCAGTGTTAGACTGGTCTCAAACTCCTGGCCTCAAGCAATCCTCCTGCCTTGGCCTCCCAAAGTGCTGGGATTATCAGCATGAGCCACCCCACAGGCCCAGAATGTCAGGTTTTTTAGTGAATTTCTCTCTATACAGTGAAGGTGGCTCCACAGACTCACCTGTGACTGGATGCCTTAGCTCAGAGCTCTCAGATTCAGGAGGTCCTTGATTCTGTCCTGAGTCCCTCAGCTCACAATTTAAGCCCATTGGTTGATGGTCATGGCCACAGCCCTAATGACAGGTACCAACCACATCCTCTGGGCTCCAGGCAACTGGGGAAAGAATCAGCTTCTCAGGCCCCACAGATAAATTTTCAAAAGCTGGCCTCTAAGCTGGGCATGGTGGCTCACGCCTGTAATCCCAACACTTTGGGAGGCCAAGATAGGTGTATCACGAGGTCAGGAGTTCAAGACCAGCCTGGCCAAGATGGTAAAACCCCATCTCTACTAAAAAAATACAAAAATTAGCTTGGCATGGTGACTCACACCTGTAATCTCAGCTACTCAGGAGGCTGAGGCAGGGAATTGCTTGAACCCAGGAGCTGGAGGTTGCAGTGAGCCGAGATTGTGTCACTGCACTCCAGCCTGGGCGACAGAGCAAGACTCTGTCTCAAAACAAACAAACAAACAAACAAAAAAGCTGGCCTCTAATTGGGTGACCCTGGGCAGCCAAGCTATGTTACCCCAACTATAAAATGGGGTTAATGATGGTACCTGCCTGGTGGGGTGGTTGAGAACACGATGAATGCCAGATGAAAGTGCACAACAGAAACAAGTGAGTTAGGCTAATGATAGCACATTTCAATCCATTTCTCCACCTCTGAAAACCTGGCTGGCCAAGCATGGCCAGCCCATGCCATGCTGAACAGATACTCTGCATGTCCCTGAAACCCAGACAGCATCTCCCCCATGCAGCGCAGCTGACCTGGCTCTGAACTGCCTCTTGGGTACATTGCTCTCAAGTGGAGATTTTACTTCCCAGGGTCTTATAAGACAGATGGAGAAAATGAGGCCTAGAGCAGAAGGGGCCTTGCCCAAGGCAGGCTGATGGCACAGGCTCTGAGACAGCCATGTACTTGGAAGGATATGCCTCAAGGAGCTCACTGACACCAGGCAGGGAGGACAGCTTGTTGCCCTCTGAGTCCTCAGCGTACATGCTATCAAACAGGAAGGAGCCATTCAGGTGCTCCACAAATGCCGTCTGTGGACAGAAACACACCTGGGCATGGCAGCTCCCGTTAGGGGCCCTTGCATGATCCCACAGGCCCATGAGGAAGGCAGGTCAGGAGGGAGATTATTCCAGGCAAAAAGAATGGCATGTGCAGCAGTGCAGAGGCATAAACTGCAGGCTGTTTCCAGAACGTTACACATGGCTCATTCTGGTTGCAAGGAGGGGTGGGGACCAGTGGGAGAGGCCAGCAGGTGTCTGGTCATGAATTCAGGGCCATGCTGGGCTAAGGGACCTGAGCTCTTCCCAGCATGTCATGGGCAACTGTCTTAAGGGTCTTAAGGGGCCTCTGACAGACTGTTTTTAGCACATTATCTCCAGCAGCTGGAGGCAGGAATGCCAGTGAGGGGTAGGGTCAGGGTCCAGACTGAGATGGAGCTGGCCCTGGGGCAGGTAGCAGACAAGCCAGGTGGGGAGAGGGCAAGCCAGGCAGGGAGGGAGCATGATCTCCGTGTTTTCAGAGCCTGGGGATCCCTGCGGACCTCTGTTTTATTTCGTCAGTGCCCTCTTGTGGGCAACTCTGAGCGGGGCTGAGGGTGTGAGGCCTGCCCGAGTGGTACCTTGTGCCTCTCCAGCTCCTCCCGGCGCACTTGCTCCTCCTCCAGCCGGGCCTGCATCAGGTTCTCCCGGTGCTTCAGCTCTTCAATGCTGTAGTGGTGCTTAGCCTCCGCAACCTCTTTCTGACCAGGAAACGGGAAGTGCATCATTACCAGAGGTTCCTCCAAGCCACGCTGCCCCTGCCATGCTGCAGCCTCCCATGTGTGGGCAGGAGTGTTGCCCGGGGCCCTGCATGAAGGCTGTGAAAGCCATGAGGTCTCATGGATGAGAATGCCTGTCTCCGCATGACCCTCACCAGGTTTTGTGAGTGCAGGGAAATCAGGGAAAGACCAGGAGGAGCAGAAGGCAGCGTGGCAGGCTGGGGTTCCTGGGGCCAACTCCAGGGCAGAAGCCATAGCAATGGAGTGCTCCCCTCACCCCAGACTGGGTGTTCTCCACAGAGGACTTGCTCTTTCACTCCCCACAGCCCTCGGGCAGGCCTTCTGGCCCTCTTTTAGGGAAGGAGGACAACAGGACAGGGGTAAAGTAAGGCCATAGGGCTGGTCACGAGGGTCTGACCCTTGGCTCTCTCCACGGTACTGGCTCATCCCCCTGCACCTGGCAGGGAATGCTAGCGCCTCTAGAACTCAGTCCCCATCCCTTCTCAGCTCACTCCACGTGCCCCAGGTGATCTCACTTGTACCATGGCTTCAAATACTGCCGATTAACAATCCTCAGATGACACTCAGGTCTCTATCTCCAGCCCTGACTCTGCCCCTGAGAGCCAGACCTGAGCCTCCGATGGCCTGATTCCCCCTGGAGCTCAGCTGTTAATATTGCTCCAGGGGGAATCAGGGTTAATATTGTTAATATTCACCCAACTTGAGGTGAATCCTGGCTCAGCCTTGACCCAGTGATCCTGGCTAACTGCTTGCCCTCCTTCAGCCTCCTCAACTTCTTTTCTTTCTTAATTTTTAAATGTTTTCACTCTTTTGCCCAGGCTGGAGTGCCATGGCATCTTCTTAGTTCACTGCAGCCTCAAACTCCTGGTCTCAAGCAATTCTCCTACCTCAGCCTCCTGAGTAGCCAGGACTACAGATGTGTGCCACGACACATCGCTAACTTTGGTAGTTTTTGTAGAGATGGATCTCCCTATGTTGCCCAGGCTGGTCTTGAACTCCTGGGCTCAAGCAATCTTCCTGCCTCAGCCTCCCAAAGGGCTGGATTACCGGCGTGAGCCACTGTGCCTGGCCCTCCTCAGCACTCATTTGGAAAACCAGACAGTACTGGATGGCTGTGAGGTGGCCCTGGCACCATGTGTGGGAGAGGCCTGGCCCCTGGGAACACGCACAGACCAGTACCCACAAGGGCACTGCTGGAATCACTCTGACTGAGGCAGGTAAAGGGATTAGGAAGAAGGAACTGCCCTTTCTCTCCTAGTTGTGGGCAGGGGAAACTGCTCTTCCATATCCCTTTTCCAAGAAATCAGGGGGCCTGAGGACTCTGTCTCACAGGGCTGGGAGACTGAGAGGGAGATACTTGCTGTGTGGTCGTCAATGCGCCGGAAGTCCAGGTACACAAGGTCAGGAAGGTAGGCACAGATGAACATCTTGTAATCCTCCACCTCAGAGATAGGGTTCCCAGAGAGGCTGAGCATCCGCAGGCACCTGAACTGCCGCAGGTAGATGATCTGGGAAGGAAAAAGGGAAAAAGGCCCATTTTCTTGGCTGCCACAGAGTTGAAAACGCACCTGCACTTCCCTCCTCAGCACTTTCAGAGTTTGCAGCCTGGCCACAGCACCATCAGCACTGTGTGGGATGACAGGCAGTGTGCAGGTGTGGGGGTGTTCTGGGCCAGGAAGCAGTACCAAGACCTTCTGTCAGAAATGGGCTTTCCAAAGAACCAGCAGACGTGGTTCAGGTCCTAGCTGTGAGTTCTTGGACAAGTTACCCAACATCTGTGAGCTTCAATGTCCACATCTGTAAAATAGGTGTAAGAATATCATGTGTGTTACAGGTGTTGTAAAGACCTAATGAAATAAGCTATGAAAAGCACTGGAAGAGTGCCTGACGCCTATTTAGCAATGCTAGTTCTAGTTGTTGTTACTAGTGGCGCGATCTCGGCTAACTGCAACCTCCGCCTCCCAGGTTCAAGTGATTCTCCTGCCTCAGCCTCCTGAGTAGCTGGGACTACAGGTGCTTGCCACCACACCTGGCTAATTTTTTTTTTTTTTTTGTATTTTTAATAGAGACAAGGCTTTGCCATGTTGGCCAGGCTGGTTTTTAACTCTTGACCTCAAGTGATTTGGCCTCCCAAAGTGTTGGGATTACAGGCGTGACCACTGCACCTGGCCTGGAGTTTGTTCTAAGGATGGAGGAAGCCATTGGAGTTTTAAGTGTGTATGGGAGTGGAGGGAGGAGACACGATCTGATTTAATTTGTAAGAGATCTCCCAGTGAGATTTCACAAAGTACGTTGTAGATGGTGAGAGGGGACAGGTTGCCTCATCATTGCTGGTGACTTTGTAAATAGTTCCACTTCCACTTGGCAAGATCTGTCAAGATTGAAAATGCACATGCCCTTTGACCTAGCATTTCCTCTCTAGTTTATCTTGCAGATGGCTTCTCCACGTGCAAAGTGACCCTTGTTTAAGGACGTCCACTACAGACTGTGTGTAATGGCACGAGATTGCAAACAACCTCGACACCCACCTATAGGGAACTGGGAACATACATTATGCTGCACCTGAGTGATGGAATGAGCCAGCAGAGAGGGCAAGCTGACGACTCAGGAGGAAAGGGGACACCAAAGGCAGGTGCTGGGAGGTAGCTGAACAAATGTGACAGTCACGTACAATGTTTAACACAAGACTCTTGGAAAGACACACTTGTAACTTAGAAGTGGCTGGGGCCTCTGGAAGGGAAGGACAGAGGCTAGGAGTGACTGAAGCTCTTTTCTGTGTGACCTGGGTTCTGCTTAAACATGTTTTTAATGCAATGAGCAGAAATTAAAATAAGCCTAATAAATATATAAATGACAAGAAAGTATATAATTGGATGCCAGATAAATAGTGCCAATAAGGACTAAAATCAAAGATGCTTGGGCTTAGGAGCTAGTACCTGAGAAGTATCAGTCAGGACTCTCTGGGCCAGGTCACAAGAGGTGCTTGATTGAGTGGAGAGGATCTAGGGTCTCCAGGGTCCCTGGGATACGGCCTCGGGAGCATCTGGCCCAAGACATCTCAGCATTCCCTGGCAGCTTCTCCCCATGGGTCATCTTCCTTCCTCTTTCTCTCTGGGGACTAGCTTACCAGCTTTTCCCATATTCAAGAGGGACTACCTGGCACCCAGCACCCCACTGGGAAATAGTAATGGGATTTCCTCCTGCCCAGTCTCTGCAGGGGCAGGATGGAAGAATGGCCAAGGCAGGAGTGGAGTGTTCCAGCAGGGGACAGGCATGTTCATCTCACACCCTCCATGCCCTCTCATGCCCAGGCCCGGGCCTTCAGAAGGACAGGGCCTCAGCTCCATTACACTGTCCAGATGTCCAAAGGAAAACAAATCAGAGGAGATTTATTCACATGTAGGTCCTGGGGTGTAGTACCCACCAAGGCAGGAACATCTATCTACTCAATGCTGAGAGTTTCAAGCAGCAAGCTGTGGAGCTGCTTGGAATTAGCTCTTAATCTGAATTTTTTTTTTTTTTTTTTTTTTTTTGAGATAGAGTGTTGCTCTGTCACCCAGGCTAGAGTGCAGTGGCAGGAACTATGCTCACTGCAACCTCCACCTCCCGGGTTCAAGTGATTCTCCTGCCTCAGCCTCTCGAGTAGCTGGAACTACAGGCACATGCCACCATGCCTAGCTAATTTTTGTATTTTTAGTAGAGATGGGCTTTTACCATATTGGTCAGCCTGGTCTTGAACTCCTGACTTTGTGATCCTAACGCCAAAGTGCTGGTATTACAGGCATGAGCCATTGTGCCCAGCTAATCTGAATATTCTTGATGATCATTTTCCATGTACTTACTATGTGCCAGGCCCTGTATCAAGCACATAAGACTAATGGATTGTATCTTCACAGAAACCCTATGGAGTAGGAACTCTATCATTCCCATCTTACAGGTGGGCAAACCCAGAACTCAAACTCATTAGCCGAAGGTCAGGTAGCCGGTAGGTGGCAGCGTTGAGATTTGAGCACAGGCTAAATCTCAGCTCTCGACGCAATCGCCTGTGCCCTCCACGCCTCACCCAGACATCCTACTGGCCAGCATTTGGTTTCCTCACCCTTACAGGGCCGGCAGGCTGGACCATCAGGACTTGAGCCCTGCAAAGATACTGGCTGGGTTTAGATACTGCCTGTCTGGCAAGCAGAGCAAACTTCTGAGATGACACCACCCCTGTGGCTTGGCCCGGCGGAGTTGGTAGTCATAACTCAGCACTTCCCACCCCAGGCTGTTTGTGTAAGCCATCCAGCCTGGCCGTCTCCCAGCCACGATGTTAGGCTGAGGGTCAGTGTAGGCCCTGAGGTGGCTTGATCAGACTGAAGGACCATTGTCGGAAGGAGAGTTCTTGCTCTCTCCATCCTGCTAGATGCAGACAAGGAAGCTTGTGTCCTTGACTGCAGCCATAAGAGAATCAGGCTCTGGGGAGATGCTGAGGACAGCAGAGCCCAGAGGCAGAAGGAACTCACGTCCTTGAAGCTCTGCTGATAAGCACCCCTTCCTTGCAGTGCCAATAATCACACCACTAAATGCCCTTGCTGTTTGCCACAGGGGCTCAGCTTACCTCTGGCTTCAGCTGTAGCCACGAGAGACCTTGGCTAGCAGTGTCCTATCTCATTATTCACTTTCTGCCTCAGAGAGGTCTCTGAAGCTGAAGAAGCCCACCCCGCCCAAAAGCCAGGTGGTGAGGAAGTTAATCCCCCTGGGATGTCCCTCAGCTGTTGGGGAGACCAATGCCTCAGGCTCCTGTCCTTAGATGGTCACCTCTGGGAGGCATTCTGGACACTTCCAAGGCCCAGAGGAATCTGCCCTCCTCACCTGAAGCAGCAGCCTCAGTGACACACCTGCATCTTGGTTCCTTCCTGCCTCCCTTACTACAGCTTCCTGAAGCCACCTCTCAAACCAGCCACCTGAGTGCCAGTCCCTGCCCTACTGTTGCTTCCAGCCAGTTTGGGGCCAGCTTCTCTTACCTGCAGGTACAGTATTCTTTCTGGTCACACTGTCCTAGGGTAACCCATTCTCATAGTCCCCCTCAAATCCATCCTCACGGTGGTGGATTCCTTCCTAAACGTAGACCTGCCCCAAATACATCTCAGACAGAAGCTTCTCATCTCCCACTGCTTCTCTGGCCATCCAGACTGACTGTGGCAAGGCCCTGGCCACATCCTGAGCCCCACCCTGCACCACACACCTGTGACCTCTTTTAGGGACACTGCACCCCTCAATGGTGCCAATCAGGCAGGCATTCCCAGATGTACCTCCAGGCCTTTGCTCACACCATTCCCTCCTCCTGGGAAGCCTATTCCTTCTGCTGGATGGTGAAATTCTAGTCATCTCTCAGTGAGTCTGCATCAAGTTTCCCCTCATTCCAACACTGGCAGGAAGGCCCTCAGCTACGACAGTCCTCCATTTATTTGTTAGGGACATACTCCAGCCTGACACTGAACCAAGTGTGTTACACTCATGACCCCACTTGGTTCCTGCTAGGGCCTAGGCAGGAGGGTCATGGGCATCATCTCCATCTGACAGATGAGGAAACTGAGGCATAGAAGGCTTGATCCTTGGTTGGGTTTAGATTCTCCTATCTGTCATGCAGGGCAAACTTCCAAGACTTCACTGCCTCTAAGGTTTGCTCCTGCTGGACAGACTTGAATGCAGGTCACAACTTGGTGCTTGACTCTCCCAGGCCACTCATCTAAGCCACCATGGCCTGCAGCTAGAATCTGAACCCAGGCCATCAGACTGACCTAAGCAGAAAAGCAATCTTTAAATGCTACTGGACAGCCCCCAGGGTTGGTGGGCTGCAGAAGTAGGCCAGGAGCCATCTGATGTGTCACCTCTTGTGACAAGAACCCCTTGTGACAAGAACCCCTTGTAGCTGCTGCCACACCCCCAGCTGTGTCCACTGCCACTCATGCACACCCCTAAGCCTCAGGTGCCCTCCTACCACCCACAGGCCTTGTTTTATTGTTCCTCGGGACACTGGCTTCTTGTCTCCTTGTCTTGGCTGTGGGGATGTGTGCTGGTCACTCCAAAGGGAACACATCTTGTCTCTCTCTGTTCCCAGTGAGCACAGGACATTTGCCCAACCCCAATAGGTACTTGCCTCAGCAAATGTTTGTTAAATAAGCCTAAGACTCAGGGAAAGAACCACCACTGATGCAGAGGTTGTAAACTAGGGCCCTCCAATGGATTTTGTTGGGTTAAGCATGGTGTTTAAACATTAGCAAATCCCTTGTGGAGTAATCTGCATTCCTGGCTTTTCCAGGAAAATGGGAAGATCTGGAACACGGAGCCTGCACTCCCTCTTACCACAGACCCCCATCCAACCCACGGTGCTCCAAGGCTCTGCACGTGTGTGTGAGGGTGGGCAGGGTGGCTGCTCACGTTCATCATGTTGTCAATCTGGTTGTTGCCTAGCGACAACACCTGCAGCTTGACAAGGGCGTCCAGGGAGTCAATATTGGAGATGCGGTTGTTGAATAAGCTCAGGTCCTCCAGGTTCACCAGTGTGTCCAGCCCCTCAATGGTCTCAATGTTGTTGAAGGACAGATCTGGGAAGAAGGGAGGGCTGTGAGGGTTTGCTGGCTGGGTCAGGGGATGGGTTATCCTGAAATACAATCATCAGGGCTACTGAGTGCCCTGTGACCCAGCACCGAGCTGCCAGGGCCAGAATTTGACTTACTAACAGTAGGCGATTTTTTAGGAGCCTGGTGTGGATTCTTTCCTGCAGCCTCAAATGTTCACCACCCTCTCCTGTTCTGCCAATCATCCTCCTGGCTGGGGACATGTGGGCAAATATCCGTGTCTAAGCTCTGTCATAGTTCTGGGAGGAAAATGCTAGCCTGAAGGTCTGAAGCAGTGCCCTTGGGGGTCAGGGGTACACAGTGGTCCCCTTTCCTCACACCTGTGACATTTTAGCAAGACCACCTCCTGTCTGCTTTGCGTTTACCAGTTTATCAAGTGCTTATGTGTCTATCCTCTGACAGCAGCCCTGAGTGTAGTTTGGAACTTCTCTCCCCGTTTGATCATTTGGGAAGCAGAAACTCAGAAAGACTTGGTGATTTGCCCAAAGCCACACAGCTAACCACAGTGGGGCCAGAGTTCACCTAAGGCTTCTCCCTGGACATGTGGCAGGTCGGTTCTTCCAGCTCCATCACAGCTGTCTCAGGCTCCCTCATCAAATGTAACCTCAACCCCAACCGAGACTTTAGTTCCACATCTTTGGGAATAAAAAGTACCTTTCTTTTTTTTTTTTTTTTTTTTTTTGAGACAGGGTCTCACTCTGTTGCACAGGCTTGAGTGCAGTGGTGCAATCACAACTCATTGCATCCCTGGCCTCCTAGATTCAAGTGATCCTCCTGCCTCAGCCTCCTAAGTAGCTGGGACCACAGGTGTGCACCACCATATCCAGCTAATTTTCAAAAAATTTTACAGAGACAGGTTCTCACCATATTGCCCAGGCTAGTCTCAAATTCCTGGGTTCAAGCGATCCTCCTACCTCAGCCTCCCAAAGTGCTGGGGTTACAGGTGTGACCCACCATGCCGGCCCTAAAAGTATTTTGTCCGCACTACAGGTGGGGCTGTTATCTTGTCCTGGAACAACAGTGGCCTAGAGGCCAAAAATGGGCATTTTCCTGGACTTGGAAATATGAGCATGATAACCACAGTGATCATATTTAAAAGGTGATTTGGGTCTGAGCATGGTGGTTCACACTTGTAATCCCAGCACTACGGGAGGCTGAGGCGGGTGGATCACCTGAGAGTCAGGAGTTCAAGACCAGCCTGGCCAACATGGCGAAACCCCTTCTGTATTAACAATACAAAAATTATGCAGATGTGGTGGCACGCACCTGTAATCCCAGCTACTCAGGAGGCTGAGGCAGAAGAACCACTTGAACCTGGGAGGCAGAGTGGGCCGAGATTGTGAGCTTGTGAGATTGTGCCACTGCACTCCAGCCTGGGTGATGAAGTGAGACTTTGTGTCAAAAAAAAAAAAAAAGGTGTTTTAGGAGATGAGTTTAACCACATCTTAATTTAGCCTCCTCCGCATATGAGGGGATGCTTACATGTTGATATTGAGACCAATGATAACTCGGTCCTTGCTCTATGATAGGCCCTTTAAATGCATTACCTTGTTTAATCTTCATAGCATAGATATAATCATGCCCATTTATAGATGAGGAAACTGAGATTCAAATGGGCCTCATGGTGATATGCTCCAGGTAGCACAGCACTTAAAGAAACTGAGGTTCAGGCCAGATGCGGTGGCTCATGCCTATAATCCCAGCACTTTGGGAGGCCAAAAAGGGTGGATTGCTTGAGGCCAGCAGTTCAAGACCAGCCTGGTCAACATAGCAGAACCCCGTTTCTACTAAAAATACAAAAATTAGCCAGGCATGGTGGCACATACCTGTAATCCCAGCTACTTGGGAGGCTGAAGGATGGGAATCACTTGAACCTGGGAGGCAGAGGTTGTAGTAAGCTGAGACTGTGCCACTGCACTCCAGCCTGGGTGACAGAGCAAGACTCCATATCAAAAAAAAAGAAACTGAGGTTCACAGAGTGGAATATCTTCTGCAAATTCAGTATGTTGGCCAAGCTGGGATTTGAATGGGGGCTACCAAATGCCAAGCCAGCACACTTCCTTTCCCACTGTGCCACCGGGTTCTGTTCTTAGGAGGCTTGGCCCACCCCCTCGTGGTATGCTAGCAAGTGTTTACCAATAGGGGGTGAGGGAAAGCTCTGATTTGTAGTGCTTGCTCATTTCTGTGGTGTAAATACTCCCACCATGGCCAATTTCAAGCTACCAGCATGGCATCCCTGGAAGCAGAGTTGGGAAGAGATGTGTACAGCCAGCTGTTGAGAGCCAGTGCTAGCCAGCTCCAGCACACCCTCAGCCCTGTGCATGGGCCAACAGCAGAGACTGTGCATGTCAGTGTGGGAGGTCATACTGAACCATGGGAGTGCCACCTCCCTACCCCCCATCCTCAGCTCCCCAGGGACCCAGCTCTTCCTGCTATGGTTGGGTCCCTGGGTACCTAGTGCCATGGCAGGAGAAAGGCCAGCTTCTGACTATACTCTGAGGGGCCCTGTGACCTCTTACCAGAGCCTGCCCTCTCTGCTCTAGCACCTCCATCCCAGGGAGCACCAGCCATCAGTCCACATGATCTTTGGAAGCGTGGATGGCCACTGCAAGGGGTCAGGGAAATTAGCTGACTGGGAAGTGTGTGCGCCAGGGTTCCCAGTAGTAGGAAGATAAGCTTTTGTCATGGAGGGAACTAAGACCAGTATTCAAGTTTCTCTCTGGGTAAGCAGACAGGGGGCTGTCATGGGGCTCAGTGGTACTTGCTTTCATCTCTGAGAGACAGCCAGGCCAGGGAGCTCCTGCTTAAAACCATGGCATTCAAGCAGCCTGTTCAGGGCAGACCTTCAGGGGGCGGGCATGGCTCATAGCATGGGCTGGCCCAGGTACCTTTAGGACAGTTAGATCTACCGTCTTCATCTCCTAGAGAGACCAATGACTTCTGGCATTGCAGATGGGCCACTGGGCCCAAGAATCAGCATCTATGGGTGCTAGGGTACAGAAAGGTGAGAAACCTGGGACAAGATACCTGGGCCCAGGTGTCAGAAGACCTGGCTGTGGTTTGCTTCTGCTACCTATAACACATGATTCCATCAAGCTGGCCAGCCTCCCTGAGACTCAGTTGCTGCATCTGTGAAATGGCAGCATAACCTTCCCTGTGGGTTTGCTGTGGGCTTGCAATTGTCAGCACAAAGGAGGCTGGGAGTGTTTGGCAAATTGGAAGGCTCATGATGCCCCAGGGCTTCCTTGTTACCAGGAGACCGCCTGATAGGCTGGAGGGAATGTGGGCTGTGAGGTCAGACAGGCAGGGGCATGAGTCCCAGCTCTGATATTCTAGGTTGTGCAGCTTTGGGCAAATGCCTGGGACTCTCTGAGTCTCTCAGCTCCTCTTCTGTAGCTTGGGATTATAACAGATGCCCAATTCTTAGGATTTAAATGGGGTTAAACAAGATAGTGCATAAGGAGCTCTCAGGCCCATCACCTTCTCCCTGCTAGGGACCCACTGCCCCTCACCAGATGTAAGGATGACCCTAAAAGGCCAGCAGAAGGAACAGCTCATCGAAACCCCCTGTGGCCTTGGCAGTGAGGCCTGATGCGGTGTTGTGGCCTCAGTTTGCTCATCTCTATGATGGGGATGCCATGTGGACTGAAAGACTCATATAGAAAGCATATAGGCCCCACTTAGCATGTAGTTAAGTGCTTGATACATATTAGGCTCTGTGGTGATTATTCCTGGTTTGATCTGGGCCCCACCAGCCAATAGTTACCTGTTGATGGTTATCTGTCAGCCGGAGTCTAGATTAGACAGAAGTCCACAGCTGCCCCTTTGTGCCCCACCCAGACTGAAAGGTTGAGCATGTGAGAGCAAAATATTCTGTGGTGCTGCGTCTAGACACATCTTTGCTGCATTTTGCCCAGCACAAGCCCTAGGCTTTTAAAAAAAAGCAGCTTTCTTGCTCCCAGCAGACAGAGCTTCTGCCGTACACTGGCTAATGATGGGCCGGCAGCTGAGCGTCACACACAATTATTGTCTCCTGGGAAGGCAATAACCTTGGCAGGGTGTCACCTTCGATTAGGGTGGACACACACAGGAAAGAGCCTTACCCAGCCAGACCAGGTGTGTGAGGTTCTCCAGGCCCTCAATCTTCTCAATGACATTATTGTCCAGCTGCAGCTTCCTCAAGTTCTCAAACTGCCAGAGGTTGTCTATGTGGAGGATATCTGAAATAATGGAAGGAGATTTTAGCCTCAGGTTAGCGTCAGAGTTTTATGCTAGTGTACAGGAGGAGTGAGGCAGAACCCTTCAAAAGGGATCTACAACTCTTCTGCCCGGCCCTGGAGTACACAGGCGCCCTTGAGATGTAGTTTGAGCATCGAGGAACACTGTATCCCTGTGAGGTGGGCGGGGATCAGTACTGCCACCCAGAGCCACAGGAAAACTTCGTAGGTTTACTAGGGTGGGGCTGAGAACTTGTTGGCGTTGGAGTGAGCTAGACCTCCTCTGGGCAGGTGACTCACTTGTGCTGTCTCTGGGGCCAGGCCAGGGCCTCTCCAGGAGTCTGGTACACCTTGGGACACAGGACACAGTCAAGGGCCTTCCTTCCACAGTGTGACAAATAGAATGAAAGCATGTGTCTCTGTTGGTGGGAAGGTTGATCACCTTGTTCAGCCGTTTTGAGGGTTGTTTGGCAATGTTTACTGAAATATTTAAAGTCTGTGTCCTTTGACCTACAATTTATTTCTTTTTTTTTTTTTGAGACGGAGTCTCGGTCGGTCTCCAGGCTGGAGTACAGTGGCGCGATTTCAGCTCACTGCATCCTCCACCTCCTGGGTTCAAGTGATTCTCGTGCCTCAGCCTTCCGAATAGCTGGGACTACAGACGCATACCACCACACCCAGCTAACTTCTATATTTTTAGTAGAGCTGAGGTTTCACCATGTTGGCCAGGATAGTCTCGATCTCTTGACCTCGTGATCCACCCGCCTCGACCTCCCAAAGTGCTGGGATTACAGGCATGAGCCACCGTGCCTGGCCTTTTTCAGCCTCTTTCGGCCTTTTTTTGTTTTTTTAAGACAGAGTCTTACTCTGTCACCCAGGCTGGAGTGCAGTGGCGTGATCTCATCTCACTGCATCCTCCTTCTCCTGTGTTCAAGCAATTCTCTGCCTCAGCCTCCCAAGTAGCTGGGAATACAGGCACCTACCACCACCATGCTGGGCTAATTTTTGTATTTTTAGTAGAGATGGGGTTTCACCATCTTGGCCAGGCTGATCTTGAACTCCTGACCTCATGATCCGCCCACCTTGGCCTCACAATGTGCTGAGATTATAGGCGTGAGCCACCGCGCCTGGCCTTGACCTACAATTTCTCTACATGGGATCTGTCTCCACACTTGTGTAAATGTCCAAAGAAATCCCTCAGGCACTTAAGGGGCAGAAAAGCTCCCAAATGTCCATATGTAGGGGATGAGATAAGGCATCCATGTATGAATGAGGCAGGCTCCTGATATCATAGAAGTGCCTGGCCCCTGTGGCCTGTGAAGACCACCCATGCCAGCTACACAGCCAATTCATTCCATTTGCTAAGTAAGCCAGTCAGAGTTTGGTTTCTGTCACTGGCATCCAGAAGAGTTCTGACTAACACAAATGTATAAGTAAATATGTACTGTATATATAAAACTCTAGAGGCCAAACTTGTCCGCCAGCTTTTCCCAGAAGCCACATATACCTCTATTGTTTATATGCTCCTTTTTTCCATATTTGCATTGTAATGATTTCTAAAATTTATAAAATTAGAATATGCTCATTAAAAGAACTGAAATAATATAGAAGTGAAAGGAGTTTTAAAATTTGGTGCTGTGGCCAGGCGTGGTGGCACACACCTGTAATCCCAGCACTTTGGGAGTCTGAGGCCGGTGGATTGCTTAAGGTCGGGAGTTCAAGACCAGCCTGGCCAACATGGAAAAACACCATCTCTATAATAAAAATATAAACATTAGGCAGGTGTGCCTGTAGTCCCAGCTACTCAGGAGGCTGAGGCAGCAGAATTGCTTGAACCCAGGAGGCAGAGATGCAGTGAGCCAAGATCATGCCACTGTACTGCAGCCTCAGTGACAGAGCAAAACTCTGTCTCTAAATAAATAAATAGAAATAAAAATTGGTGCTGAGGTGTTGTGCCTTAGAGGAGCCTGAGCTGGCCAGTCTGCTGCATCCCTGCCATGTCCCCCGCTGCATCCCCTGCCAGGACCAACCAAGCTGGGCTGGGCTGCCATAGACCACGGGCCTCTGCTGCAGGAGTGGCTGCCCACCTACAACCTAGGGGCCGGCCAGGTCGACGGCGCGTGCAGCCCGCATGGCTATGGTGCCATCTTGCTGCCCACCCCTTCCCACTGCCTGCCCTCCCCTTACCTCATCACAGGAATACCCACCCACCACCCCAGGGTCTACAATTGCCACAGCCGGACTATTACTCGGTACCCTGCCAATGCCATCATCATCATGGGAGGCTGTCACGTCTGCAGGGTCGGGGTGCTGGAGGACTGCTTCACTTTCCTAGGAATCCTCCTGGCCATCATCCTGTTCCCCTTTGGATTCATCTGCTGATTTGCCTTGAGGAAGCAAAGATGCCCCAACTTCGGAGAAGACTTTGCTTAAAGGCACCACCATACCTGGCTTTCCCACACCCAGCTCTCTGTTTCTCATGTACAACAGTTTTATTTGATTAAGCTTCAGGGCTGTTTTGTAAAGCAAGATGGGACAGATGTGGCACATGGGAGCTGCGGTTTCCTGGAGCATGGAGAGGCAACACCGCTGCTCCTGAGGTTAATGGCAACTCAATAAAGCACTGCTTTTATGTTCTGCAGTCTTCAATTTGAGAATGGTGAGATATGATTTCAATAAATGAGATTCATACCATTAAAAAAATAAAAAATACAAATACAAATTGATGCTGTCAATAACTACACGGTCCAGCTACAGTTTCAATATTCATTCAGGGGGGCAGAGCCTGCCCGTGAGGTTGTGAAAGTCCCAGTGGGAAAGTGGGGGACCCCTCCTAGCTCCCCTCCCTGCATCCAGGTCTGGGGAGGACAGGGTTCTCTGACCCAGGCCCCAAGGAGCCCACTGCCCTTTCCCTAGAGCTGGATTGCTGTGCTGCGCCTCCCTGGGTTCCCAGGGCTGGGTGGGACTGGTGCCTGTTCTCCAGCTCCCTGTTTATGGCCAGATTTCCCAGAATCATACTGGCCACAATTCCCACCTGTGCTTCCAGGGTGGGGCCAGTTCTGCCCTGGACTCCTGGCCACCTCCCATCCCTGGGTTGGATTTTCCAGGTGTGTTTTCTGGCCCTGATCTGACAGCCCCCTCAACAGCAGCTCTCCCCCGGTGGCTCCGGCACATCCACTGCTCTGCCACACACGCCTGCCTGCTGGCTTTTTCCTAGGTGTCAGCAGTTCAGGAGGAAAAGCCAAACAACACAACAAATCAGGATGTACTTGGCAGTTAGATCTAAATGAATTACCAGCATGACAGGACTGCCAAAAAGCCGATGTAATCTTCAACAAAGACACTAAATCTGCCTTGTGGCCACCACCTCAGCCAGGCCTGCAGTCACCACTCCCGGGAGCACAGCAGTGGCTGTCTTACTAGATCCTTACCTCAGCCCCTGGCCTCCACAGTCTATCCTCATGCAGCCAGCAGGGTCCTGTGAAATCCCATCCTGTCCCAATTCTGCTCAGGACCCTCCCAGGGTCCTCACCTCACTCACTATAAAAGCCAAACACCTTCCATTGGCCCCAAGCTGACACCAGCTGACCCCATGACCTCCCTGACCTGTCTCCATACTGGCTTCCTCTGCAGGGCTGATAAGATGGGGTCCAGCCTGCCCCAGGGCCTTTGCACTGGCTGCTCCACTTTCCCCGGTGGATCTCCACAGTGGCTCTCTCCCTCACCTACCTCAAGTCTTTGCTCAAGTGTTACCTTCTTGGTGAAGCCCCTTGCCACCCTATAAAACATTGCACCCCACCCCCAACTTCCCTTTTCTCCTCTCCCTCCTTTTTTCCTCCACAGCACATGTTACCTTTAGCAGATTGTATTATTTTCCTTCTTCATTTTATTTCTTTGTCCCCCACCAAGTTGAATGTCAGCGCCATGAGGACATTTATCTATTTGTTCACAGCTGAATCCCTAGTGCCTAGAACAGCACCTGGCATGTAACAGGCAGGTGCTCAATACTGGCTGCATGAAACTCAGGTGGGGGAGGGAAAACAGGGAAAGCAGTCAGTTGCAAAAGCCCCTTGTGCCACACCTGTTCTGTGCCCCATTTTAGGGCTATGGCTCAGGGCCCTCCCTGCTTGGGTGGTCAGCCCTGGCGGCCTGTGGGCTTCATGGGGCTGTGCCTGGGCCATGCCTGTCTTTCCCACTGTCATGTCCCTGCTCTGGCAGCTGGGCTGGGCTGAGGCAGGGTCTCAGTACTTTCTTGTTGTTGACTGGATGCCGGCCAGCCTGGGGGCCCCAAGACCGAGCAGGAATGTGAATCAGACAAGGTCAGTCTGCTGTGGCCTTGCCTGCACCTGATACAAGGCGGGGGTCTCAGGATCCCTGGCCACCTCTCTCAGTACTCTAGTACTGCCTCTGCCTTGACTTACTGTGCCGCAGCTTACTGGCCTTCCTGTGTGAGCCAGGCACTGTGCAAGTGCTGTCTCTCCTTGTCCCCCCGCCCAATGCTTGGGACAGGGATGACAGTCATCCCATTTCACAGATGGGACATTGAAGCAGTAAGGGTCCACCTGGTCCTGAACCACATCTTCCCACCCCTGAGGGGCCTCCCTGCCTCATGGCCTGTGCCCCTCCTGCCACCAGCCCGTCTTTGGTCACCCCTTCCGTGAAGCTGCTTTCTCAGTGCCCGCTCTTCCTCCTTCTCCCACACTTCCTACCCTCTGCTCCTGGCTACATGGGACTTCCTAGGCTCTGCCTGCCAGGGACCCCCACTCCAAGGACACCCACATGGAGTTGTGTGATGGAAACAGCATAGTCTTGGTGGCTCACTTAGATTTGGAGTGGGACAATTTTATCTTGTTTTCTATTCTTACGCAGAATCAGGAGTGTCGTGGATATTGAAATGATGAAGACACTAAGTAATGAAGCTTTACAAACATCTGTGCTGCTCCTATGCCTTGTAACCCAGGTAGGCCCTAATGCTGATGTGGGAACCTCCACCATGGACTTTGCATGGAATCCTGGAGCTTGAAGATAGAGCAGAGAAAGCCCGGGAGGCCCCACTCTGGCCACCACCCCTGAAACTTGGGTACATACTCCGAAAGTCCAGCTGCAGGGACAGGACATCCTTGAAGAGAATGCCCTCCTGCTTGGCAAGCTCCCCGGTCTCCTCCTGGGAGCTCTGCTCCCCAACAGCCAGCTTGAGCATGTCATCGTCTATCACCCTTGGCTCCATCGAGTCGTATAGCCGGTTCATTTTCCCCGATGTTTTCCCTAAAAAACACCACATTCCTCCTTCACAGTCTGCTTCATTTTTTTTTTTTTTTTTTTTTTTTTTTAGTGCAATGGTGTGATCTTGGTTCACTGCAACCTCTGCCTCCCGGGTTCAGCAATTCTCCTGCCTCAGCCTCCCGAGTAGCTGGGATTACAGGCATGTACCACCATGCCTGGCTAATTTTTGGATTTTTGGTAGAGACGGGGTTTTACCATGTTGGTCAGGCTGGTCTTGAACTCCTCACTTCAGGTGATCTGCCCACCTTGGCCTCCCAAAGTGCTGGGATTATAGGCATGTGCCACCGTGTCCGGCCACAGCCTGCTTCTTTCTCTGTTTGAGGGCAGGTGGCTGAGGTTTCCCCTTATGGTGTCGCTGTGGCCACTGATACTGAAAAATGCCCCACTTCTGACCCTGGGCCTGCTGCACCTCGGGGTTTGTACATTTGCACCAAGGCTACTCCAGGGCTTCCTGTCCCCCACTGGGCTTGTCCGCAGGGTTTTATCCCTTGACCCTACAGCCACAGCTGGGACTGTCCCTGGACCCACTGGACTGGTGTCCACACTGGTCTCCTTAGCCTGTGATCTTGGCTCATCTTAAGACTGTGGCCCTGTGTCAGGCCTCTGACTTTGTGTGCCCATCCTCATTTGGGCTTGTGGGAACCAACTGCTGACTGTATTCCCTGAGTATCCCCAGCCAGGCAGGTCAGCCTGCAGCTCCTCTTCCTTGAGCACCTCACCCCCTCCAGGCAGTTATGTGTGTATGCCCCCTACCACACCATAAGCTTTCCCTGGTGCAGAGGGAGCCCCTGACCCAAGCTGACCATTCACGTCCTCCCCGTGGCAGATGTGAATTTGAGGCTGTGGAAGGAGAGTGCTCATTGGAGCTGGCCGCTTGAGCTGGGGAGGAATAGGGAGTGTGGGCTGACTGGGCACATGATTAAACAGAGAGGAAGAGCGGGAGGAGGCAGATGCATGGAAAAAAGCAGAGATGGGAAACTGGGAACCAGAAAACAAAAGACAGGACAGACAGACTGACACAGACAGAGGCTGCCTCCTTCCTGCTGGCTTTCCAGTCCCTAATATTCCTAAGTCCATGCCTCATGAGAGTTTCCTGTTTCTCACATGAAATCCTCTTTTACTTAAGCTAGCTCCAGTAGGTTCTTTTTTTCTTTTTTCTTTTTTTTTTTGAGACAGAGTTTCACTTTTGTTACCCAGGCTGGAGTCCAATGGCACAGTCTCGAATCACTGCAACCTCCACCTCCTGGGTTCAAAAGATTTTCCTACCTCAGCCTCCCCAGTAGCTGGGATTACAGGTGTCCGTCACCATGCCTGGCTAATTTTTTTGTATTTTCAGTAGAGATGAGGTTTCACCATGTTGGCCAGGCTGGTCATGAACTCCTGACCTCAGGTGATCCACCCACCTTGGCCTCCCAAACTGCTGGAATTATATGGGTGAGCCACTATGCCCAGCCTCCAGTAGGTTCTGTCGCTAATAGTCCAGAAGGATTTGGCTGAGACAGCACAGCACAGGGGGATCTGTAGACTTGGTCAGTCACACTGCGAGGCTGACCTGAGGCTGCTGTTCCTGGCTGGACCACATTCTTATCCTTACCAACTCTCTTGGTGAAGACATCCAGGAGGGACATTTCCCCCTGCTTTCTCCCTCTGATTCTTGCCTCCCTGCTGTCCCTCGTGTCTCCCCAGCATATGGGCCTCCCTGAACCTCCTGTCCTTCTGCCCTGCTGGTCCCCAATGCTAGGCAGCCCCTGTGCTCTCCTTTTCATTCCACTTGGCTAGAGAGACTCCTAGTGCAGGGCTGATGGTGTCCGCTGAAAGCCAGGTTGGGCCATACAATCCTGTCACCTGGTCTTAAATAAAGACTTCCCTCTAAGACTGCCTTCCTCCTTCCTCCCCGACCATCCATTTGGATGCAGCTTCTGTAAATACGCATCCTCTGTCCTGAACTGTCCCTCACTGGATGTCCCTATGAGCTCTTGCTTCTCTTTTGCTCCTAGGAGAGGCACAACCTTCACACCCTTCAACCCCTACCCCTTCTCCACCTGTGCCTTCTGTCCTCCCAAGACCTTGGTCCTTTTCTTCCCACTCTCTCCAATCTGTTTACATGGGCTCCACCTCAATGAGGTGACTGATTCCACCCTCAAAGACAGTTCCAGCCCTTGGCCTTTCTCATAGCTCCCCACTCTTATGCAATGGATTCCCCTAAGGTTTCCCATAACTTGTCATCAGCTTGTCTTTGGGGGAATTTTAATATGTTATGTTTGACTGATGTTTTCTGCAAAGTGTTTGGCCTCTTCTTTTTTTTAATGGTGCTATACTTTGGGAAGTGACTCTTAATTCTGATTTCAAAACTTATCCCTCCTACTTCATCAGGGCCTGGTACCCGTGACAGATCAAGCTTGCTTTCAGTCAAGCCCAGCAATTGCTGTGCTAGGTAATATGGGGTTGTTATTACACATGCTATTTGTTAAGTACATCAGGGCAGGATTTGGATCCTGACTGTGCATCTTTTGGTAACTCACTTCACCTATCTAAACCTTGGCTTTCCCATAGTAAAAGGCAGATAATTCCTCCCACCTACGTTTGTGTGAGATCATGTATTTAGTCCATACATGTGTACTGAGTAACTGCTACATGCTGTCAATAAAACAGATGGATTTTACCCCTGCTTCAGGCATGAATCAAACAATAATACAAATATTTAATTACAAACCATGATAATTTGTAGGTGTAGGGAACTATGAAATCATACATTAGGGGCACCTGGCCTGGCCAAGGAAGGCAGGGCTGATCTCAAGGACAAGTAGGAAAGAAGGAGGAGATAACTTCATGGCGAGGCCCTTCAGGTGGGAGAGAACAGACATGTTGCACTTTGGCTGAAGTGATGCCAGGTTGGAGAGGTCTGCAGGAGTTTTATTATTATCCTAAAATCCCTGGAAAGCACTGAGGGCTTAATAAGGTCAGCAAAATTAGCCGGGCATGGTGGTACATGCCGGGTGAGGCAGGAGAATCACTTGAACCCAGAAGACAGAGGTTGCAGTCAGCTATCGCACTATTGCACTCCAGTCTGAACAACAAGAGCCAAACTCCATCAAAAGAAAGAAAGGGGAGGGGAAGGAAGGGAAGGGTGTGGTGGCTCACACCTATAAGCACTTTGGGAGGCTGAGGCAGACGGATCACAAGGTCAGGAGTGCAAGACCAGCCTGACCAACATGGTGAAACCCCGTCTCTACTAAAAATACAAAAAAAAAGTTAGCTGGGTGTGGTGGTAGATGTCTGTAATCCAAGCTACTCAGGAGGCTGAGGCAGGAGAATTGCTTGAACCCAGGAGACAGAGGTTGCAGTGAGCTGAGATGGCACCACTGCACTCCAGCCTGGGCAACAGAGCAAGACTCTGTCTCAAAAATAAATAAATAAATAAATAAATAAATAAATAAAGGCAGCAACATGATCAGATTTTAGTTTTTAAGTAGCTCACTCTAGCAGTAGTACTGAGAATTGCAAAAGTACTGAGGTGAGAGATTACCAGGGTGTTGGTAAGATGTGGATGTGAGAAATTTCTAGACACTTAATTTATACGTAGGGCTAATAATCACCAATATCCAGATAAGAAAACAGAAGCTACTTAGAAAGGTTAATTAACATGCCCAACTTCATACACTCAGCATATGGCAGAGTCCATTTCCTAATCATGAATCAACTGTACCAAGGGTACTGGGGATATCATTGCCATGGCTCACAATGTTTCTCACAATTGTCCTGGGTTCAGGGCCAAGGCCCAAACAGTTCTCCATGGGGATCTTAGTAGTTTACCACCCAACCTGGGTCCCTTTGACTTGCCTGATGATAGTGTTGTTGAAGACCAGAGACGTAGGAGCCGGGGAAAGCAGCAGAGTTTTACACAATTGTCAACGGAGTGGCCTCCTCGCAGAGAACAGATCTAGAATTTTCCTGGGCAACAATAACCTGGGGTCAACAGGATCCGAATACTATAGTCCCTATTGGCCGTAAATTAATAAGAAGAAAATTGGTTGGGTGAGATGGCTTACACCTGTAATTCCAGCACTTTGGGAGACTGAGGTGGGAGGACTTCTTGAGCTCAGGAGTTCAAGACCAGCCTGGGCAATATAGCAAGACCCTGTCTCTGTTTTTAAAAATAAATAATGATTTTTTTTTTTTTTAAAAAAGAAAATCATGTACTGAATGCTTATTGTGTACTCAGTGCACAGGCATTATTTAAGTACACATAAGCTGCGGAGGCCATAAAAAAAGGGAGTCCTAATGTCCTTATTTCCCAGCTAGGGAAACTGAGGCTCCAGGAAGGGAAAGGAACTTGTCCAAAGTCATAAAATGAGTTACTGACAGAGACAGATATGGAACCTGAGGAGTCGTATTCACATCCAAAGCACTTTATACAGTACCAAGATGGGGGAGGACTCAAGATGGCGCTGTGAGAACAACCCAGGATTGGAGCTCGCGTTGTGTCCGCGGAAAGGGACATGGATGAATCTGGAGAACATCATCCTCAGCAAACTGACACAAGAACAGAAAATGAAACACCGCATATTCTCACTCATAGGTGGGTGATGAAAAATGAGAACACATGGACACAGAAAGGGGAGTACTAAACACTGGGGTCTATTGGGGGGAAAAGGGGAGGGCCAGTGGGAGGGGGAGGTGGGGAGGGATAGCCTGGGGAGAAATGCCAAATGTAGGTGAAGGGGAGAAGAAAAGCAAAGCACACTGCCATGTGTGTACCTACGCAACTGTCTTGCATGCTCTGATCATGTACCCCAAAACCTAAAATCCAAAAAAAATTAAAAAAAAAATACAGTACCAAGATGAAATCATTTGATAGTTATGAAGTCAGATATGATAGTTAAATTCTGGAAGAAGTTATCAGTGGACCGGGTACCTCTCTTTCTATGAAAGGAGGCTGGAAGACGGAACCCCTTAATCCATTCTGACCCTGTTCCCTCGGGAAATGCTCCCTTAGTATTTTTTTTTTTTTTTTTTGAGACGGAGTCTCGCTGTTGTTACCCAGACTGGAGTGCAATGGCACCATCTCGGCTCATTGCAACCTCCGCCTTCTGGATTCAAGCAATTCTCCTGCCTCAGCCTCCCGAGTAGCTGGGACTACAGGCGCGCACCACCATGCCCAGCTAATTTTTGTATTTTTAGTAGAGACGGGGTTTCACCATGTTGACCAGGATGGTCTCGATCTCTTGACCTCGTGATCCACTCGCCTTGGCCTCCCAAAGTGCTGGGATTAAAGGCGTTAGCCACCGCGCCCGGCCTTTTATTATTCTTTTTTATTCAAAAGCTTGACAAGCCCAGGACTAAAGTGCCTTGGCTGTCTCAGCTCCACTGTAAAGTGCCTGGGAGAGGACCTACTTGCTCAATTTATAAATGAGACGGGCCAGGCCGGCGTTCTCAGACAAAAAGGTCACAGGAGTGAGTTAAGTCGGGCACTATCTGTCCCTGTGAGTCCTCCCGGAGCCTCAGCTCCCAGGTCTCACCTTCTCAAGCGTTGAGAACTCGGTTGGTTCCACGCAGCAGACGCGTCTCCCGGTTGCTGGGGAACCAAGCGCCGCGACTTGGTTGCTAAGGGGAAAGTCAGTAGGGAGACTTCCTGTGTGAAAGTTGACAGATCACGTGACCACATCTCTGGGTGGGAAAACACTCCTAACACCAACCAGCTATAGAGAAAACAAATGTTTCTCCAATCAGTACTTTCTATGGGCGGGGATATTCCTAGATTCACCTCTCTTCCGTCCGCCTTTCTGGATGATTGACTCTTATTTTGTCCAATAATAGTAAGGATTCTTTAGATTGACCAAAATATAGATGAATCAAAATGCACAGCTTCCTCTTCGGGGGCGGGCCAGGGGAGGTGCCGCCACAGCTGACAGGGACTCCGCTGACCTAGCTAGCTCCTCGGCCCAATCGGACGCCGCGGAGTGGGTGGGGCTTTGCTGACGAAGGTGTAGCTGCCAATCGGACGCGGGCTTTGTAGGTGTCCCCCAATAAAGACGCGGCAAGAGGCGGGGCTAGGAGACCTGGCCCTCGGCGTTCCAGAGGGTGGGGAGGGGGGCAAGTGTTAGGACTGGATCCCGGCGGGGTACAGCGGAGACTTCTGTGGCAGACAGGGGCCCCGGGCCGCTGTGTGTTGTCCACCGAAGATGGAGTTCCTCCTGGGGAACCCGTTCAGCACCCCGGTGGGGCAGTGCCTCGGTAAGGCTGCGTGTGGGGCGGGAGGCTGGGCGACGGTGGCAGCTGATCCGGTTGGTGAGGACCGCGGGCCTCCGCCGGGCGTCGGTGCCACCTCACGAGCGGGCTGGGCCTCCGCCACGCGCGGGTGCCACCCCACGAGCGGGCTGGGCATCCTGGTCATAGGACCTTCGCCGGGTGCCAGTGCCACCTCACGGGAGGGCTGGGCATCCTGGTCGTTGGGCCTTCGCTGGGCGCCGGTGCCACCTCATGAGAGGGCTGTGCATCCTGGTCGTCGGGCCTTCGCTGGGCGCCAGTGCCACCTCACGGGAGGGCTGGGCCTCCGCTGTGTGCCAGTGCCATCCCACAGAGGGCATCTGTGTCCTCGGGCCTCTTCCCGGGCACTGGTGCCACCTCACGGTCGCCAGTGCCACTCTGCCAGGAGGCGCCCCTGAGGCCCAACTTGGACTCGGAGATGCCCCAGGCTTCCCTGCCCATCAGGACTCAGCCCTTCCTTTTGCTCCTAGAGGTGGTGCCAACTGCTGGTCTGCTTCCCCCTTGCCCTTTGGGAGATGCCACTGCATGTGCCCTTATGCAGCCCAGCAGGCTCACTGCCACTGCCCCTAGGACCCAGTTCTCTCAAACCCTTTGTGGGATGTCACCTCCTTCTCCGTCCTTGTCCCTCTTCTTCAGTACCAGCAACCCTCAGACTGGGCACCCTCCCAGAAATGCCCCCTGCTCCAGGACTTGCTAATTTGAGCTGCAACTCAGCTGGGCTGTAGGAGGGACTGGGATGGGAGGAGGGGCCCTTGGGGGTTGATTATCTTGGCAGGGGGATGGCATGCCTGCAGTGCCTCCCAGGAAAGAAGGGAGGCTGTGTAATTTAATGATAAGAGCCCTGGACTGGGAATCATGGAAGCCTGGACTGTAGCAGTGGTTTTGCCAATGACTTCATGTGACATTGTACCCTTTCTAGTTTGAAGTTCTGTCTGTTAAGTGAAGTGTTTGAAGATGAGATGTGGTAGGTCCCTTAAAGTTCTCAAGTTTTGATATTCTGTGTAGTACTCTGCACATTGACTGTTGCTACCCCCTACCATATTAAATTTACCAAAGTTGAATCTTTTGTTGGCAACCTAGAGAGAATGGTACCCAGCCTTATCTGTTAATCCTATAGGGAGGATCTGGACACCTGGGGACACCAGAGATGGCCAGAATCCTGGATAAGGAAAGCCCAAAGTGTAGATAAAGGAATACCAGAAATGGCCACCATGTGGGACTTCCTTACTAAAAAAGCGACTTGCCTTTTCACCCAAGGCAGTGGCTTATGCCACTTGATCAGTCAAGAATGCTGATTAGTTTGTTTGAAAACTGGGTTCCTCCTGGTTAGTTGAAGGACTGGTAAAACGTCTTTTATGAGCCCCAGGATCTTTGGTGTTCTTATAGGCCTGATTTCGGTAGTAGTGATTTGTTTATTTTCTGCTTTGCTTATGAAATTCTAGCTTACTGTCAAGCCTTTAGTGGGGCCTGTAAACTTATTGAGGTCTCTCCTGTTGGCTGATTAGCATTTAGGAGCCTTGCTTTACTTGCTGGCATAGTGTCTTTTATAATGCCAAAAGAGTGTTTCCCATGTTTTGGACATCTTGTCCCTTGCAACCCACTGGAGTGTCTCTGGATTCTCACCTCCTTTCTTCTTCTTCATGTCCTCTCCCCACTTCCCTCAGATGCTCCTGCATGGCAGCCACATTCCAAAAACTCATTTTTCAGTTGGATGTTGAATTCCAGTCAATGAATGGAGGGACCAGAAAACTTGGGGGAATGGTTTTCTTTTCTGTCCCCTTTATACTAGGAACCTGCAAAATGACAAGGTAGTAGTCGAGGGTTAGAAGTTAATTTAAAATACAAATATAAGGGATGTAGGGATATATAGCAAGTGGTAAGAGCATGATACTTCTGTCAGGAAGACCTGAGCTGAATTTGGACCTGGCCCATTGCTTGGCTGTGTGACCCCAGAAAATTGTATTGCCTATCTGAGGTTTAGTCTATCAATCTCCTGAGAGAGAGAGAGAGAGAGAGATTGATTCATATTCACAGAGTAATGCAGCTTAAATGAGATAATGTATGAAAACACTTAGCATAGTATCTGGAACATTATATAAGCTCAGTAAATTGAAACTGCCACTGTTAATAACAGAATACTTTACGTTAGGGTTGGATTTTCTATCTGGAGAGGGTATGTGAAACAACTGGCCCATCTGTGATCTGTGAAGGAAGATACCCTACCAGGCCCCAGGGTTCACAAAAGACGCTTTACTATAAAGATGATGATGGCTCCCCATTGCCAGGTAGCCAGTAGGTCATTTCAGTTTAGTTCAGGTAAATGATTAATGGATGGAATGAGGCTCTAATATATATTTTGTACTGTTGTGACAAAGTGTCAGAGTGACTTTCTCGTGACATTTAGTGTGTTAGTACTATTTTAAAAGAATGTGCGGGGGGGCAGGTAGTGTGCTGGTGGGAGGCAGGGAAGGGGAATACAGAAGTAAAGTAACAACAACAAAGCTAATGATTTAAAACTGCAGCTATAAGCGGTTGTGGTGGCTCACGCCTGTAATCCCAGCACTTTGGGAGGCCGAGGCGGGGGGATCACCTGAGGTTAGGAGTTTGAGACCAGCCTGGCCAATGTGGCAAAACCCTGGCTCTTCTAAAAATACAAAAATTAGCTGGGCATGGTGGTACATGCCTATAATCCCAGCTACTCGGTGGCTGAGGTAGAAGAATCACTTGAACCAGGAGGTGGAGGTTGCAGCAAGCAGAGATTGTGCCATTTGCACTCCAGCCTGGGCGACAGAGTGAGACTCTGTCTCCAAAAAGAAAAAAAGAGAGAGAGAGAGACGGTAAGCCTAGCCAAGGTGTGAGAGGCTAAGAAGTGCAGAGGAAGAAAGAGTACTTACTTGTATTTCTTAATTTTCTGTTCTGCAACAAGCTTCAAAATGTTATCTGCCGTAATCTTAGCCTTCTACAACTGCTCGGAGTTGAATGACAGCTTGGAGTTGGATCTCATACATTGGGAGTTCCCCAAGTCAGGTCCACTATGGTCTGCAGAAGTTTGCAGTTTTCCTTGCGTTAGCTAGAAAAAGTTTTCAGAAAATCCTTTTCCAAGAGTAAAGTTTAGATTCAAAGATCAGTGGGTAGTCAGTTAATTCTGTCCAAAGTATTGGAGGTGGTGGGCATGTATTCTCGTCATTGTTCTGCTTTAATAAACAGGCAAGAAACAGATATTCTGTTGCAGAGTTTATTTGTAGACTGAGTGGTGTTACACATAAACTACTTCAGACTATCCTGTGAATGGAAGATGTTTAACCTGGCCATTTGTACCAAGAATAATTAGTTGTGCCTCAGATTGCCATGTGCATTAGGGTCTTTTTTTTTTTTTTTTTTTTTTTTTTGAGACAGAGTCTTGCTCTGTCACCAGGCTGTAGTGCAGTGGCATGATCTTGGCTCACTGCAACCTCCACCTCCTGGGTTCAAGAGATTCTCCTGCCTCAGCCTCCCGAGTAGCTGGGATTACAGGCATGTGCCACCACGCCCAGCTAAGTTTTGTATTTTTAGTAGAGACAGGTTTCACCATGTTGGCCAGGATGGTCTCGATCTCTTGATCTCGTCATCTGCCTGCATTGGCCTCCCAAAGTGCTGGGATAACAGGCCTGAGCTGCCATGCCCCGTCTGTATTAGGGTTCTCTAGGAGGACAGAGACAGAATTAATAAGATAGATGTATGCATTAAGGGGAGTTTATTAAGGAATATTGACTCACGCAATCACAAGATGAGGTGCCACAATAGGCCATCTGCAAGCTGAGAAGCCAGGAAGCCAGGACGAGTCCCAAAGCTGAAGAACTTGGAGTCTGATGTTCAAGGGCAAGTATTTGTGAAGCCCTTTTGCTTCACTGATTTTATTTACTGTTCACAATCTTGTGAGATACACAGGAAGAGAACTGGAAGGAACTTATAATTATTAAGTGCCAACTATGTGCAAACTCTGTACATGGAATCTCATTTAATCTTCACAACATTTAGCTATTTGGGTGTTAGCATCCCTGTGTTACATGAGGAAATCGAGGCTCTGAGAAGTTAAGAGACTGGTACAAGGTCAATGCCACAGTTAAGCCTAGAATCTACTCCTGGGCCAGTGCTCATTCTGTGCTGCCATGTATGTTAGTTTTTGCTCTCAGATCTCATGATTCAGCCTCAAGGGAATCACCAAGAGGGCTTGTTAAAAGTGGAGCCCACCCTCAGAGTTTCTGTTTCAGTAGGTTTGGGGTGGGAACTAGCATTCTACATTTCTGTCAAGTTCTCTAGTGATGCTGAAGCTACTGGTTCACTTTGAGAACAGTTGTTCTTGATTTAAAGTTCTGTTTCTTTAATCTTTTCTTTATCTTTCTTCAACATTAAATGTGGGTTTTCTTGTGGACAGACTAAAAGAGTGATTATTTAGAATTTGTTCATTTATTCATTCAGTGGCCCTGTACTATCTGTATATACCAAGCTAAGAATTTCCTAGTGTATAGGTATCTAAAATAAATAAGGTAGAAAGTAGTCATAAGATTGGGTCATAGATAAATGCAGTAAGGGAATGGAGGAGAGGGGTGGCCTCAGGTAGTAATAATAATAGCTAAAGATTTTAGGGGTTTGCGGTTTTTTTGTTTGTTTGTTTGTTTTGTGTTTTCTTGAGACAGAGTCTTGCTCTGTCGCCAGGCTGGAGTGCAGTGGCGCGATCTCAGCTCACTGCAACCTCCGCCTCCTGGGTTCAAGCGATTCCCTGGCCTCAGCCGCCCAGTTTTGGGTTTTCCTTTTTTTAAGTTTAAAGTTATGTTCCTGTGTGCCAGAGACTGAATGGTCACACTTGCAGTCATTCGATCCTCACAATACTGTGGGGAAGATACTGTTGTTACCTCAGATGTTTTCAGAGGGGGTCACTAAGACAGTGAGCAGATATAGAACCCACCTGAGGACACACAGTAGCAGTG